TTATAAAAATGCATATTATAGTACAGTTATTCCGTAAGGACTTTGAGTATGTACTTAAAATCAAATAGTAGTAATAAGTTATCGTTTTGATTCGACACTAATCCAGTCGGTCAGACTTAGGTGAAGAAATATTACAAATTATTATACTCCCATTAGGGTGAAATCGGGTTCCTGGAAAAATTCTTGTATTCATCATTTTCGTGTCATAACTGTACTCTATTGTATTATAGAAACAGTAAAAAATGTTTAAGTCCACCATAGTATTATTAGAAATCACATACTTGAATAGTTTGTCAAAAACGTTTTACATCATTCTGTACATTGCAGTTGTAAAGAAACAACAAAATTGTATTGATTTTAAATGTAAACGAAATTATATTTGCATAACATGTTAATGTACGTAGCTACGGCATGAGAAATAATCTTTTTTTTATTCAATTTAGTTTGTGATGTAAGCTTTCCCTCGGCGATGAATCTAAATGACAGTTTATTTTTTTTATTTTTTTGTTAATCGCCCGATCTGCATTTAATGTTTATCCTGTATTATTATTTTACACATTATGTTATTTACGGATACTAGTAATGCATTTAGTATTTTAGCCATTTAAAAATCGTATAAATACTTATTATAAGTACAATATAAAGCTGTGTATAAAATGCGTTTTAATGGAAATGTAATATAACAACCAAAACAAATAATGGTTTTTTAATAATTAAACATTTATTTTTACATAAAACAAATATTGCTAATGATTTCAATTTTTAACAACCCCAAGGAAAAATAGTAAGCAGACTGTTTTATGTCTAAATTCTTATTTTATATAATTCATAAAAAATAATAAAAAAGTTAATAGTATTTGAATATACAGTAATCAATAATGCAATGTTATTTTACCTCAAACCACATTCCAATTGCAAAATTGATCAATATTAAAAATTACATTGTAACATTCACGTTTTTTGATACGTTGTTAAGAATGTATGTACTGTATATATATATATATATATATATGTATATTATATTTACGAATTGCGCCCAATTTATTAATAATATATTGTGTCAAATAAGTTCTATAAATCAGTTTGATAATAATATTAAGAATTCGTTTTTAATTTGTGAGTGATTTTACTTCGCCTTAAATATGATTTTTAAAATGCGACTTGAGATCTCACGTTGTGATTTTTTTTCATGTAATCAGTATACATGGATATTTTCTGTCAGTTTTTTTTACAGCATTTACGAAACCAACAAACTTCGTTACTAAATAAGAAATAATTGTATAAAAAAATATGTATATTTACATAAGAGTTCAGTCGAATTTTGATTAAATATATACTATTTATTAAATTTGTTTACCGCGTCGTCCATAGCACCAATATTAGTTTATTAAGGGTTTCACGTTTGCATGGATTATTTTCCTTACCAAACAAGTTTGGATACAGATTTGATTTGGCGAGGTGAAATTAACATTAGCTCTAGCAACCAATCGCCGAACAAACAAATTATTCGGGAACAAGATAGTGGCTATTTCTTAATTTATTATTCTTTGCCCGGATTCTTGACAGTTCTCCTTGTTCAGAAAATTATACCAGAGGCTAATTTTGCTTGGACTGAAGTCGTATTTCACCTGGCAATGGTATTTTTTATTACTTGAGAAGTTATCATTTTTACATTAATAAGTATAGTATCTTGTACATACGTTGGTCATATGTATATAGAAGATTTGTATGAATGACATCTCTTAGAGTGATCAGATTTAAATATGTATAAACAAATACTGATGGTTTTAATACAGCCAAAATATTGTGACACAAATGTTTTAATAATATTTCTAAAATATTGTACATATTTTAATAATTGTATATATTAATTATTTTCAAAAAAATATTACACTTCAAATATTTCCCATCTGACTCCTCATTACAATGTGTAGAGACAATTATTATTTTTTAGCTGCTTATTTTAAGCTTATTTTTTATGAGGTGGTCGCATGAATATTATATATTTTTGTAACATACAAAAAGTATAAATATTTAAAAAAGTTTATATAATAAATTAACGCGATTTCCAATATCCATTAATCATATTTGACTGATCCGAAAAGTATGATTGGTACGCTTTTTAGTATTAATGCGATTCTTTAATGAATAAATTCTGATCACAATAATGCCAATACATAATAAATCAAATAAATAATCATGACATGGTTTAGGTAGATACAATCAATTTATGCAAAAAGTGGCAAGGCAAATCATGTGGCAGGTATTTTATTACGACGGGTATTGTTTACCTATTACACAACGAAAGATTATTACTTAATTTTAAATTAAAGAATGTACTTATATTCATAAGAGTAATTATTTAAAAATATTATTACTCAACCGTTCGTGTATATAACATAAAATCAATAGAAATACTATAAAATATTCCAATTCCTTGGTTGTATATAAATTTGATTTGTGTGTTTCTTAAAAGAAGGTATAATTCACAATTTTCTCAGAAAATTAGGATAAGACGTGTAAAATACAATAGTAAGTTATTATAGTGATTTCAGAAATCCATGGCACTTTTTTTATATTCATCACTTTATCACAGTAAAGTGCATTTAGTAACATGAGGTTTTAGTAGTATTCAGAAACAACATATAAGTTAAAGAGTCGAATTGTTTTTTTATTTTATTGAAACCTAAATGAAATGGAACCTTGTACCCGTATGCCCATAAACGCGTGTGGTCCGCAAGCGAAATGTAATATGCTAAATCGTACGCCAACCTCAAAGTAATCAACCGTTTACCGAGTGTAAAGTCTAGGAATGAATTTGGTTGTTTCTTAGAGTTTGTTTTTCTTCTAGATCCTACAAAAAGCTGTGGTTTACGTTACCTCGAAAAAGTCGTTGAAATTCAATTTATCCAAAAGGAAAAAATAACAAAACCTTAAAATAAAAAACTAACTTGCGAGTTGCTGTAGAATACTATGTACACTGATTGTCCAATGCAGAAATGTTAATTAAAAATATATATAAGTACAAGTGTAATTCAGCAACACCATTTTTTTCCATACTATCATCGGCGTAACTGGGTGGGGGAGACTTAGCTCCTTAATCTTTATAATAGGGCCCTTTGTATGTGACTATTTGTCATTATATGTACATAATTGTTAAGATACAAGTAGAACAAAAAGCTGAAATTAAAAAACAAACAAGTGAGCATACAAAATAACGAATAGATCAATAATTAATGCGGTAGATGGGTCAATTCTAGAAGAATATATGATATTATTAATAATAGATTTTATACTATGTGAAGCAGTGAACATTTGTAAATTTTTTTTTTTTTAATGTCTGCTCAATTTTTTTTTTGGTATTTGAACAACCAAGACTTATGTCATTTGCTCAAATGCAGACCAATCGCAAGGGGAAAATACACAGGAAAAAAACAGCTATAGATTATATAAAAAAACAAAAACATTCATAATCATCTCGACATAGTTTGTAGCCAGACGACGGAGATATTTGCAATTCTTTTATTTTAGTAAACCGTCTCAACCTTCATTTGCACAATCTCAGACAGCCGAAGAGTGATGCGAATATTTTTATCGTATTATCAGTTATTTAAAGTATTATAATACTGAGAGCATAGTGAACATTTTGTTTTTTAGTATTTCACAAAGTTGAAATGTTTAACCCAACTTTAACTTGTTTGAAAAGTCTCAATTATATTATGTAAATTTACACTTAATAATCGTCATGCTGATTTAAAATGCAAAGTTCAAGGAAGTATAAATACTAAATAGTAAATTTCTAAACTATATTATACACGTACATTAGGGTGGTTCTTTTATGAGATTTTGGAGAATTTGTATAATAGAACTGTGTAACTATTTTAAATAAGTCACTCACGGACTCTTATAATATGCTGGGCCCAGTTTTATAGTGTGATCTAGGAAAACAGCATCTTTGTAACATTTTTACTAATTCTACATATTAATATGTTGATTTGAGTGCATATCAGGTTTATGACCCCGGTAACCGGTGTTGGTGTCATCGCAATAACGTTTACTCTGGGTGTAACTGAAAATGTAAAAGCAATATACGTTCCATAATGTACTTAGACGCGTATCCATGACGTGTGGTAACAGATGAACATATTATAATTGTACTTTCAAATCAGTCAACCCGGTAGTTATAAATTACCCTTGAGAGTTTAGAATTTACACACAACCCCCGTTTGTAACAGTTATCGTAGCTTAAAAATAATAAATTATATTTATAATATTTTATAATATACAAATGGAAATATAAGGAGGGTACGCCATACTATAATTTGGTATTCTTGAAATGAAAACGTCTTGTCGATTCGCTATTGTTTCTCACGGGTCGCTTTATCATTATTATTATTATATTTTTTTTTCGCGTTTTATTGATACCGAATAGGGCACGTGACGTTTTCGTGTCATAAATTTTTCCAAGAGCCTCATTTACTGGTCGAATTTATTAGCTCATTCAACTGTGGACGTTTGCAGGTTTACGATGTAAACCCACAGGTGACCTGTCGTTCCGTTCATATCTCGCAATATCATCTCGTTATTTATTTATTTTCCTTCAGGAGCGTCGAAATGAAAATCCGATGAAAAAAAACCAAGCAATGACGTTATAAAAAGTATAAAAAAAAAGGTTCGATTATATTATAAAAAATGTATACCCGGTGTAAAAAGCCTACGCGAAAATAGATGACTACCCTGTCAAAAGAATATGGCCTATGGGTATTATTGCGGTATTACTGGACCCGAATCCTCTTTGAAATTATTTTCGTTAATTTAATCAGAAATTTAATCAACCCGAATAAAACCGTACACATTTTTAAATCATTTATCAAACCGAATTGGCTGTATACAATGTACCGAATCGTTTTGTAACAAACTTTACCGCCAGCTGACCGTTGAGTAGCGTTTGTACAACAAATATCAACGTCAACATTTTTAAATACTTAAATATGTTTCAGTTATCCTTCATGTTCAGGTGCTCGAGCTCCGGGATTGGCTGCGGACATGTACTTTTACGATAACATCATAGCGTTTATAGGACCAGCCTGTGCGTTTGCCCTGGAACCGGTTGCCAGACTAGCAGCTTATTGGAACTTGCCGATTATAACTGGAATGGGAGATCAAGTAAGTGTAACGTTCATTGTTGTGTGTACGCGTTTAGCTGTTTCAATGACTCAAGAATATATTTTATATATAAGCTAATATTAAATGGTCTTAAATGTTTAGCCACCAGCAGAAGGGCAAGTTTCCGTGATGTCTGGAATACTCGGGAAGAAAAACGAATCGGTAACTTTTGACTTTTAATCATCAATAGATACAGTATTTGTATTTTAGAACTTGCACCAATAATTGTACCACATTGAATAAATATATAATATTGACTCCCCCACGCAAAATTAATAATATTATTTTTCCAAAAAATGTCCCAACCCCTGGCCGTTAATAAATCTAAATTTGAAGTCTAGAGTTGGGGCGAACGGTCAATACATTATAATATAGTGTTATATTAATTTTTGTGTTAAATTATGATACAGTTAAAAAAAAAACCCTCTAAAAGATTCTTACTTTATAATACAGCAGTGGCGTATCAGAAGCTATTTTTATTTATTAAATATATATATATTTTAAAACACGGGTCGAAAAAAAGCTATGTCAGTCCCAAAGGGATGGTATATTTCTTTCATAAAAGGTGTTGATGTTTTATGGATAGTGCATCACGTGTCGTCAAACGAATTTTTTTAAGTTAAAAAATCACAAAAACATATTTTTTTAGCTGAAAATTCAATTTATTTATATTCACGTCAGAGGGTTTCTTTGAACATAGCACTGTACTTTATTTTATTTTGTTGGCTAATATATTCATTTTATTTAAAAAAGTTACTTTATAAATATGCTTTAAAAAAATACAGTACAAAAATTCTAGCACAATAAAAAACTTGGACCAACAAATAACTTCAAAATTGTATAATTGCAAGCAAATAATTTTAAATAATTTAAAATCATTATTGCAGACTTTACTTGATTTTTTAAATCTATTTTGTTTGTTTTAATAATATAAAAAAAATATTACAAATGCTTACAGGGAATATTCAAGGACAAATCTGAGTTTCCAACACTAACGAGAATGTCATATTGCCAGTGTCGATTAAAATTAGTGTTTATAAGTATTTTCAAAAAGTTTCAATGGAATCATATAGCTCTAATACAAGATCGATCAGATTTATTTTCTCTGACAGTAGGTAAGTTGTTGACTTAATAGATAAAACAGTTGTTTCACGTTTTACTAAAAGAAAAAATGGGTAACTTAACAGAAATAAACCTCAATGTTTTCTTTTATCATATATTTATTTATATTTTATGCTATAGGGCTAAAATATAAACATTTAAATAAAAACGATTCAGGTCCATAATTATTATTAAAAACTTAAATTACTCTTGATTTATTTATATTTATATACATTATACATATTATACTATAATATCGCTGAAAAACTTTTTTGATTTTTTTAGGTAAAAATTTGGAAACTGGACTTCGGAAAGCTGGATTTTTAAGTTTTTTTCGTGAAATTGATGGGAACGATGAAGAACCTTGTGAAGCGTATCTTAAAGATGCTAGTATGTACGCGAGAGGTATGTCAGTCATAAACTTTCAATTTATACATTATAATAATCATTAAAATGTAGAATAAGAAGATCTGATCTCTTAAAAATACAGACCGTGAACTTTTGCTAAATACACTGTCTTTCGAGGAAGTAAATAAACAAAAATGCCTTCTCAGTTCGCATCAAAGCTAATATAATAAAAAAAAGATTTTTATCGAATATTTTTGATTCTATTACCGATATTATTTTTATATTTTCGAACAAGATACAATAATACACAAACACAAAAAAAAATGCATAATAACAATATTTCTTAATCTATTCGTAGAATCTATTGATTTTACAAGCTACTATGAGACAACATTTTTGAACAACCATAACTGAAAACCCTTTGCGGTGCAGTTTTATTTTATTAGCTACGTTTACAAAGTAAAATTGTTTATTTCTTGGAAAGTTTGGCAAACTATGCTTACTATAAATGATTATCGATTGTTGTTCGTTTACATACGCTATACATATTGCACTTATTTGGATTTGGTAAACTTCAAACAAAATAACTTACTATATTTCTAACGAGATAATAATGTAAAGTATAATCTGACAGTCACAGTTGTAAAGCATTACATACATATATAAGTAGTATAAACACAGTTTCCCACAAAAATTTGACATATTAAATAACTTTTGTTCCAGTGAATATTTTTAAGATTTTTTTTTAATTTGCGCTAGAAACACCACGTTTTTTATTGCACTTAACTGTTTTACTTTCTTTAATTTTCTTTTCAAGATGGCCATTCTATTTAAAATAATTTTCTGAACATTTTCACTGGTCGACAACCAGTTTTAGATAATTGATTTTAAAATGTTTTAAGTTTATTATAACTGGTTGTCGACCAGTCAAAATTTTCAGCAAATTATTCTTAATAAAATGGCTATCCTAAATTTTAAAAAAAGGTAACCAAAAAAATAATTTAAGAAAGTTAAAAAGTTAAGAGTGATTATAGCGCAAATTATTATTAATTTATTTTTAAAAAAAATCTTAAAAATATTCACTAGAACAAAAATTATTTCATTAGTCAAATCTTTATGGGACACCCTGTATATTTGTGAGAAGTTTTAATTGTTTAATCATTTTTTTATCGTATCTACGTGAACTGTGTGTTGCAGTTGTCATCTTATGCGTAAGAGGTACTTTGGTGCGAAAATGTATGTTGGCCGCTCACAAACTCGGTATGACCAAAGGCGAATGGGCGTTTTTGGACGTTGAACTAGATCAGGTAACGATAACGACTACACAAGTGCTGTGCTAGTGCACACTATTATATACATAATATGTATGAATTTAACCGTTTGAGTCCCACTGTGAGATCTAGCAAGTTTCCACACATCCCGGAGTTACCTTTCAATAGCATTGTCCCAACGGTTTATTTTGGAATTACAAACAATTATTTCAATCGATGACTCATAGGTATCAGCAATTTTTTAAGAATTTAAAGGGTCAAACAAATAACAAGGGTGTGAATCTTTTGGTGGAAAGACAGCGACAACATTATTATTGTTTTAACTGAAATTCCACTTGTTAGCTGTTAAATGTTAATACGTTTTTCACGGTTGTTCGAAAATGATTCTTTTCAAGGGTTCTTACTGGGGAGCGCACGGTTGGGCAGCCAACGACACTCAAGACGGTGCGGCTAGAAAAGCCTACGAATCGCTGCTGCGAGTGTCTTTACTGAAGCCGGGAAGTTCGCAGTTTCAAAACTTCTCTAAGCTCATCAAACAAAAGGCGTTGGAAAATTATAATTACACGCTGTCCGAGAACGAAGAAGTAAAGTTCCATTTCCATTGTAGATAATATTATAGATGGACTGAGATTTCCGACAATAACTGGAACCGGAGGACGCTTTACTTATTAAGTATATTTTTTTATTTTAGGAGAATTTTTTCGTCGGAGCGTTTTACGACGGCGTACACTTACTCGGCATGGCAATGAACGAAACTCTGACCAACAACAAAGACATTAGAGACGGCAAAGCAATTACCAGTCTGATGTGGAACAGAACATTTAACGGTAAGCTATTTCAAATCAAGTTCGGTATTTCGTTGAGCGTAAATTATACTATTAATTTAATAGTGGACACTATTAACCCGGGTTATTGTCATTTACACGGTGGTTGACAGCTAACTCGGATGATCAATGCTTTATTTAATACACAGACTTTGAAATTTAGTTATTTCAATTAATTTTGTTAGGATTCGGGAAACCGCCTTGCATAAAAGGATGTGTTTTCATCAACGTCAAAACACATTATTTTAAAAACTAAGATACAGTATAAGTCATACTCATATTTGGCTTCCAAAAAAATGTTGAGATTTTACCGATAATAAAGCTAAATAAGTAAATCGCCGAAAGATCTTCATGTTTATTACGACTAACGAAAATATTGAAGTTAATGTGATAATCTTCAAAAACAAAAACCTCAAACTAAAAAACCATAGACGAGCACTGGGTGCTAAAGTTCTAATTAAGCTTTGCCGACATTATTTTGTTGTTTGAATGTGATGAATGATAGTTTTCTCCTTGGAGACCATAAGTTTCGCATATGATAATATTAATTACTAATTTGTCCAACGTTGAGTCATAATGGGTCGGTGTCGCTTTTTGTACATATTATAACAAACGAGCTTTAAAGTTTTTTAGTTTTCATAACTTTTCAATTTTTATCCTGGTCACTACCACAGGATTAGTCGTCTAATACGTTTTCGTGAACAAGTGACGTTGGCCTAACCCGACTCGACCGAGTCACGGATAATTTGTATTCTGTCGGGTGCGATTTAAGTAATGCTCTGGTCCGGAGCAATATAGCATCTGGCAATTTGTACACCAGGGCCCCACCGTACCGCTGCGGACGGGTTATATTGTGTTCTTGTTATTATTATATTATTGCTATCATTATTCTTGTCGTGCACAGGTGTCACCGGTCGTGTGAGGATCGACGAGAACGGCGACAGGGACGCGGATTATGCGATATTAGACCTGGATCCCATCAACGGCCGCTTCGAGGTGGTCGCCAAGTACTACGGCGAGGCGAGGACTTACAGCCCGGTCGTGGGCAAACACATACACTGGCCCGGCGGCTGCGACGGACCCCCCAAAGATATACCGAAATGCGGATTCATAGGCAACGATCCGGTTTGCAATTCCGAAGGTAAAAACGGACGGTGCCGGTCGAGATTGATTTGATACTAGATTAGGTACCCCCCTCCCCGAATTTGCCCAGCTAACCGAATAAACCATTAACGACAATCGATTAACTATGTAATAGCCGTTTTAAGCAAATAGCGCGTGTCGCATTTACCCCGGATTAACTTCATAATTCGTAGATTATGGAAAAAGAGCGAATTTTTTCTGTTAACATAAACAGCTCGTTGTTGGCCATCAGTATTTCATATTTGGCGGTCAATCGGTTAGTCAAAGTCATACTACTCGTCACGTTTTGATTAAATGTAGTCAACTGAATATTTAATCATAAATCGTCCAACAAAAATTGCAATAATATACTATTACATTATACATTATTTACATAATTTACAGGCCACTACATCAGATTATTAGTTAATCAAAATTAAACCTACATATATAATACAAAAATAAAAGAATCAATTCTACAAAGGAACGAATAAAATTAACAAGTATCTAATTTTAAGTATAAAAATAAAAAATATATAGTACTACAGCTATTATGTGTTAATTTCGACCTAAGAAAAGTTATGCGAGACAAAATAAAAATAATAGTTTTTAAGGAACCGACAAAAAGAATATTATACTTGCCATGTTTCATTTCATTTGAATTTTTTGTTAAATTTAAATTAAAAAATTCTTCCGTGACCTTTGCTAAAAATAACGGTTTCTTCGAAAGCATAAGTATAAGATTATCTTTTTTTTGTTGCCAAAAGTGTCCCATTTTCATTACTCGGTACTTTTCAATTAAAGCTTAAGGAAGTTATTTTTAAAAAAATTTAAGACTAAAAAAAAACATAACGTTGATTTTTTTGTTTAGGTGCCTACTACATTACACTGTACGCGTCAATTGCATTTATTGTGATCATTTCGTTTGTGTGTGTGTTAGCGTTTCTTATTAACAGGTAATTTGTATTTTTTTTCTATAATAGTACAATTTATTGTTGATCGGTAATAATTAAAGTTAGTATAATGAATTGCAATTGATATAAATAAAATAATATAATATTTCGGTTATTTCTAAGACAATTAAAACTAGCAGCTGATCTAAATAATATGAGTTGGAAGGTGAGACCTGAAGAAGTTTTGATTGAAGTCAGCAAACCGTACTCATCACGATTAGCTTTACAAAAACCCACAGAGGTACCTAAACTATAATTTATATTAAAAAAAATTGGTTTTTTATCCTTATTTTCTTTGAACATATTTTTTTTTTCTTTGCTATTTAGATTTTAACACAATGACTGCTTGTATCTATTGCTTTTTTCATAATTTAGTTGGTCTTATGTATCGTTTAAAAAATACAAATGGAACCAATTATTATGATTTTTCTTAGAATACACAATAATTGAGATGGTTAAATTCATAAAATATGTTTTATTTAAATTGAATGCTAATTATAGCCGTGGAAATTGACGCTAAAAGAAAAACTTGCAATAATGGTTTGGTTAGTATGGACTTAATATGGACTTAGCACTTAGTATGGAATGCCTACTGCTCAATATTTTGTGTTATTTATGTTTTGGCTTCTGTTTTTTTATTTGCAATGTTTTATTAAATTATTATATTACGCTGTTAGAAATATTCATATTACAGATATTCGAGCCGGCCTTACAAGAAAAGTTGATCTGCCGAAGAAGATCTGACACGTCGAACTCATCGTTGCCACCAGCGCAAGTATATACAACCGTTGGTATCTATAAGGTGAGAGATAATGCTATTCAAATTAATCTTTTAATGTTTACCTATCTATGAAACGTAAGGGTTTATGATATTTGTATTTTGAAGGGCTCCAGAGTGGCGATAAAAAAAGTCGTGAAGAAAAAAGTGGATTTAAACAAAAAACTACTATGGGAAATCAAACAAGTAAGCTGCAACTTTTAAGTGCATAACATGTGTATTATTTTTATCATTGTATTAGACTATAATAAAAACAATATATTTTAATAATAGGTACGGGACGTAACACACGAGAACACAGTTCGCTTCATTGGCGCATGCATCCACTGTCCTACTGTATTAATAATGACTGAATACTGTCCCAAGGGTAGTTTAAAAGACGTGTTGGAAAACGAAGCCCTTCGCCTAGACTGGAATTTCAGGATGTCGTTAATTCATGACATAGTTAAGGTATTGCAGATTAAATCCGGCAAAACAATAATTGAAGCGTTTCAGAACAAAGTGATCTAAATGCCAAAAATTCGAAATTGGTTTTTTTTTCATGCAAAGTTAACTAGAAACAATGATAATGCTGTGCACTCTTATCCGAATTCATCAAACTTTTATTTATACTTTAAAAGTTAGCCGGTATATCGCCCTGGTATCAACAACCATAACGCATTTCCCTCAAAGTGATCTAAGTGCTACACACATATGAGGTGCATTTTATAAAAAATCGATCTGTTACTTAACAGTTTTTTCGTTTTTCCGCAAATTTGTTTTTTGCCACTTATATAGCTCTTTTACACTGGTACGCTTCGATTATACGTATGTACGCATATTGAATATGACTTACAAATGACCAAATATAATGATTTAAGGGCATGGCGTTCTTGCACAGTTGCGAAGTAGGAGTGCACGGTAAACTTCGTTCAAGTAACTGTCTGATCGACGGCCGATTTGTGCTCAAACTATCAAACTTCGGGTTGCGCACGCTTACCACACCATCGGAAGTCATCCGGGACAGTGTTTACTACCACAGTAAGTCGAAGTCTAGTTATTTAGATTAATTGATTTTTTGACATTATGGAAAATTATGTTTTTTTTAATTTGTTTGCTTTGCAAGAGTTATTATGGGTCGCTCCGGAGCTACTAGGGGAACACACGACGGCTGTGATACAGGCTACGCAGAAAGGAGATGTCTATAGCTTCGCTATTGTCTTAGAAGAAATAGTGGTGCGTGGTGGTCCATACGAGTTCGTTAAAAACGAAATGACAACCCAAGGTACACCGGACAATAGACTAACACTGTCGTTCATAAAATGTACAAGTTCTTTCCGTCCTCCTACTACTTGCCAATTGTTCCTGAAGAAAGTTTCAAAAACCATACCATGAGTATTATATTATACTAACGCTTGATTTTGAATTGATTTTCATTTAGAAATTCTCGAAAAGGTCGAAAAACGTGAAGAACCCTATTTCAGACCTGATATATCTGGACACGATTGCCCTGAGCCGTTGTCCGAACTTATGCAGAGATGTTGGAACGACGTACCAGAAGAAAGACCGGGATTCGATATAATGCGCAGTATTGTCCGGCAGATCACAAGGTAAATATTATTCGATAATAAAATATTTTAATTTCCATATATTCAGCACACCAGTAAACTATACGCCATGGGATACACTATATATTTAATAGCTCGCCTAACAAATCAAACGATATGACTCACTTAACATTTAGCCACCTTACATAAAAAAAATATATGCTGCGTTGTATTGAAAATAACTGAATACATTTTGCATTAAATTTCAGGGGTTATTGTGAAAATTTGATGGACGATTTGGTGTTGAGAATGGAACAGTACGCGAACAATTTGGAAGCGCTCGTCGAAGAAAAAACTGATCAGTTGAGCCAGGAAAAACGACGGTCGGAAGAATTATTGTTCCAAGTACTTCCCAGGTCATTATAATTGATTACGGTTTAGAAATTACTAAATTGAAATTGGCCATTACTCAGGGTTTTATAAATTTGGAAAATCTCAAAACAAAATGTTTTAAAAAAGAATTGTCTGGTTATGAAAATAGTTTTAAATTAGTTAAAAAATTGTAATTTGAGGATTTTTAACATTTTCTATGATGTCTTTGTTTACAGCATCTCAACATTTTCTCTATATTAAACTCTCTTAACCTGCTTACTGTTTAATTTTTTTTCAAAATGCTCCAACTTATTCATTCTATTCTCTATAATTTTCCCTGATATTTACGCCACTTTCAAATTCCTCTTATGTATATATATATATATATTAATCATTCCTTATTCTGTCAAGCCTAGTCACTCCACACAATAATTAATAGTTATCGTTTCGTTATTTAGACCGGTTGCACAACAGCTAATGGCCGGCGAAATGGTTAAACCCGAACAGTTCGAAAGCGTCACTGTATACTTTAGTGACATCGTAGGTTTTACTGCTCTCTGCGCACAAAGCTCTCCTATGCAGGTATGTCAGTACCATAGATTATTCATAGATCCCTTAATAACACTCAGGCTTGCAGGTGGTGAACCTTTTAAACGACTTGTATAGCACATTTGATCGAATAATAGGGTTCTACGACGTGTACAAGGTAAGATTTTCAAGAATACTTTTAATAACAGTATTGTTAAATATAAAATTACATAAATGTCGTCGGTACTCTACCGCCTACATAAAACTCCTACGGGTGCTTATTGTTACATTTTTCGACACTGATTGTGAGTGCAATAACAATTTTATTAAACTTAAATAAAAATAGTTATTAATACTATTACGGGCTCCCGCACGAAGTCATCCAATGGAACGCCATTTTCTTTTTGGATACGAAATAAATTCTTAAAAGGTATTGCATTTTTTTCTTTAAGAGTCAACAAGAAACACTGAAAATAGGTTATCATTTTTATAAATCATTTGGAAAATACATAAACAGTATATCGAATTTTACTCTGTAAGCTTGTTACATTGAATTTTGTTTAAAACCTAATTACATTTTCTTTTTTTATAAGCTGTAGAAATTCCATTGCAACGTCTTTATTATTATTTTAGAATCGTTCGAATTTCATGAAATCAAAAATCGATACTAAAAATTAATTATTACCACCAATGTTATTTTATTATATACAATATACAGGTCGAAACGATTGGCGATGCTTATATGGTAGTTTCTGGACTGCCGGAAAGGAACGGTGACAACCATGCTAAGGAAATAGCACTCATGTCCTTAGCTATATTAGACGCTGTTCAAATGTTTACTATTCAACATAAGCCCGACGCACAACTCAAAGTTCGCATTGGAATTCATACAGGTAAATAGAGTAGCAAAGTGTTAAGTATATAATACGTAAAATTGTATATATACATATAATTGATAAATAAATAAATAGATAAAAACAAAACGCTTCGCTGTAAGTTTGTCATATTTTGTTTTTTTAAAGTTTGAACAGAAAAATATGCGAACAATTTTATCGTAAATAATAACTAATAATAATAATCGGTTTGTTACAATAAACCTGTTTTATATACTTTTTTGGATCCGAGGGTAAACCACCACTGGTAATCAGTAAACACATTTTTGAAAATGTCTACTGATTTTTTTTTTTTAATCTCTGCGATAATGATTTACCCTGGGTGCTTTGGATAGTTAACAAGACTCGAGGGTGACGTTTACACACACACATTATGATTACAGGGCCCGTATGTGCTGGCGTAGTTGGCCAGAAGATGCCACACTATTGTCTGTTCGGAGACACTGTCAACACGGCGTCCAGAATGGAATCCACCGGAGAACGTAGGGCGACTTGCAAATTTTTGTAAAAAAAAATAATAACAAACCAGTATGAATGTCTGATTTTACATTATTTTCAGCTCTCCGCATTCACGTGAGCTGGGCGACCAAAAATATACTGGACACGTTCCAGACTTTCAAGTTGGAACTCAGAGGAGACGTGGAACTCAAGGGCAAAGGCGCAGTGGTAACATACTGGCTAGTCGGATGCACAGAACAGGATCCTCGACCCCCAACGCCTATAAGTACAGACACGCTGGACCCGAATAACCCTTATCCGTTGATATTCCCCGAGTTGAGCAAATAGTCCATGTTTAAATATTATAATAATATATTGCCCATTAAAAAGAAGTACATGTTTTCGTTGTTGATATATTTTTTTCGAACGATTTTTAAAATTGTATAATCGACGTCGTATGCCGAACCGTAAATGTAATAGTATATTTTATTGTGCATACCTACACCATGAAATTAAACAATAGCTTAAAATAGAAAGAAAAAAAAAAGAGGTTTTTTTTTATTATTATTTATTAGAAAGTGTGGAAACAATTTAATTAAAACGATAATTTGTTATGCCCAACTCTTGGCTATTAATAAATTATTTACTATTCAAAACGATTTACAACATTCTTGTCATTTCTGTGACCCGTATAATGTAGATGTATAATTTTAGTTACCTGTCTTAATATTTTGTCGAGTTTAAAATTAGTTATGTGGATAATTCTCGGATGTACCATGTCTTCAATTCTATTAAATTCATTTTTTCTCGATTTTTCGAAATTACAACAATTTTTGCTTATTATACTTAAAAGTAAGTTTCCGGTAAGTAAATATGCATCTATCACTCGCTCTATAATTTTTGTAAGTATTGAAAACACGTTTTTGTGGATAAATAATAACAAATTTATTTTTGAAAAAAAAAATATATTTCATAAGTAGGTCCTACCAAACAAAGACCAAAGCTTCTTTCAAATTCTTTGGTCTGAAACTAATTTGGTTCCAGACTAAGTCTATACAAATAGAAGTTAGAAAAATATTACTTACCTGAGCGACCGCTCCGAAGTAAATTCTCCATGGTAACAAAATCAACAAATATATATTTCATACTGTAACTGTAAAACCCAAAACAAAAAGTCGACTTCTTCTAAACACTAAGACATTTATTATATGATTATACTAAGTTTAAAACAAATTTACAAACCCGTATCTACGTAATTATGGCTAATAGTAAGTACCGACGTTTTTGTATAACGTAAAATTATTTCGCTTAGTCAAGTAATAAAGTATGTATGTATATACAAATGTAATATTGATATTATGGTTTTGTCAATGTCTGCATAGTAACCATTGAACTCCTGAGAAAACGCTGTGAACACAATGAAGGCGAAATAGGTACACTAGAAGAACTTTCATTACACCAGGAAGATTTAATCAAAATCGAACATTTGCAAAACTGGTGCAAAGGATTGAAAATATTACTCTTACAGTCCAATTTGATATTTAAAATAGGCAAGTTATTAAACTTAAAAATTACATTCGTGTAATATCATAAATACCAGTTTTAAAACATATTTGAAAACCTAATATTAATTTACCTCGTAAGAAGATAGGGTATTAGAAGAAGCGTATATTTTGACTCTTAATAAATAGCTGTTTCTGTTCTTCCAATAGTAATTTAGTTCCTGTAGTAAATGGCTTATACAGTATACTATCTATACTGATGGTATATTCTACACATTATGTACAAATATTGTAACTTAAAAGCTACTTTATCAATTGTTTGTTGTTAATGCAAACTTAATATATCAATGTTATACTACTCTACGTTTTAAAATTTATTTACACATTTCACATTTTGTAAAGGAATAGGTGTAATGTAAATGAATAATGTCTATAGTATTTTAATAATTACATAAACAAAAAATAAACATACACATAATAATACAAATATTTATTTTTAGATAGAGGTTTTCAGTTTTGCTAATGCACTCTCAAACGAATCTGTTGTCTGTACAACTTAGAATTTGAATCTTCGTCTACCGCGTTTTTGCTTTCGGCTGTAGAATTTTTAGATAAACCGGTATTTGACGCTAATAAAGGCTTTTTGGCTCAAAAATTAAATAATGGTTTTTCATCATTTTTTCCAAACGAGTTAAACAAAACCGAAGAAGTATTTGGTATAAAGTCCGATAAAATGATCGAGTTTGATTTTATTTTAGAACAATTGGTTGACGGTGAAGTTTTTTATCACTGGACTTTTGTTCTTTCATTAGCAGAAGGCGTTATCTGTAGATTGAATTTTAAATGTCTACTCATTTCAAATCCATTGAATGATGGAGGATCTATAGACTCGGTTTGCGCTAAGCGATTGGATTTATTTTCTTCTATAAGTGCATCTTCATTTTTTTCCGGCATACAATTCTCTTCTCCCGATCCGTTGCATAAAATACATTTAGAATTATTAACTGGACAAGTATTTCCGAAATGAAAAGATAATGCATATCTTGAATGCTTCTTGTCTCGAATACCGTCTGGAATACCTTTTTCAACCATTGCTGAGCCTTTATTTATTTCAATTATATTTTGAGATAAAGAAACGCGATGCGATTTTTTTGAAAATAATATCGAAGAATTCCGTACACAGGTTTTCTGACCTCTACAAGTAGTAAACTTACTTATATGTTTTTCATAATCTTCTAGAGTTGGTATGAAAACACAGTACGGATTTTTTTGTACAGCGTTGGTAATGAATTCGACAAATGCTCTGTTAAGTTTCATCACTTTCACTGGATCTATAAGGGTTCCATTTGATATTTTAATACCTGTATTAGTACTTTTTGGCAATTTTAAACTACTGGAAATCATTAGTGGATTAGTAGCGGATGCTAACGGATGAGAATCCGATACATTTGTTTTGCGACCGTTAAAAGCAATAAACTTGCTTATATGTTTTTTATAATCTTCAAGAGTTTGTGTAAAAACACAGTACGGATTTTTTTGTATAGCGTTGGTAATGAACTCGACAAATGCTCTGTTAAGTTTCGTCACTTTCGCAGGGTCTATAAGGGTTACTTTCGAGCTCAAAGTATTATTGCTTACTGGCAAACTACTGGAAGCCGTCAAAGAAAATGCAAACGGATCATGTTTACTTGAACTGGGAATAGAAGACGTTTCGTTGAATTTCCACGGAAAGGTAAATGCTTGTTTGGTGTTACTGTACGCAGATGGAAACCCGACAAAAGCAGAAAATATCGCTTTGGCCTCTCCATTATCATCCCGTCGCAATGTTCCAGCTTGGATTTTTTCCTCTCCTACGTCCCAACTGTCTTTATTGAGATAACTAGCCGCTCGCCGTTCGCTCGTCATACCGCACAAATAAAACGTATATGTGTTTAATAAATAACAAAATAATATAATAACAAAAATAATATTTCTCTAAAGTTTGAAAGATATCGGTTTAAAGGTATTTTCTCTGCTATCTAAATTATATAATTTTCCAATATTTATCATGATTTCTTCAATTATTATGATTTTTACGATTATTTTTTATTAGAACACATGGATAGAATACTCTTTATTTTTTTCAATACTTCAGCGCCATCTGTTAATTTGACCTGCAAACAAAATATAATCTAAAATCGTGTTGGTCACACTGTATTAAATGTTGTATCCGTTATGACCGCAGATGCTGCTGCTGCAACTGCTCCTGTGTGAAATGTTATCTTGACAATTAGCGATTACGAGTTTGTTTATGAATTGAACTTAGACTATCATGAACTCTAGTGTTTATCTCGTGAAGTCAATGTTAAATTTGACAGTTATTTCTCGTTCGGTTTCCGGTGTTTCTCTTGGCCGTGTACGAAATATATCGACCAAACTAAATAACATTAATATTTCCATTGTTAATACTTAATTATAACCGACTGTTCTAAAAGACCGTACGTGTTCGTATGGTGCATTTACTTAAGCTACTGCAGTTGTTGTACACAGTTGTATGTCGTCAACGTTTTATTTACATTATGTTTAAAAGTTGATGTTTTGTGTGTTGAAGTTACCGAAATAATATATATGTCCTGTTGATAAGTTACGATATTTGCATAGCGACAATGGAAGAAGACATCAAACCGGACATCAAGCCCGTCATAGAAGACCTACCCAAAGAGCCGGACGAAAAGAAAACCAACTTGTGTGTTGCTTTGAAAATTCTTAAGAAATATAACCTGAGTACGACTGCAGAAACATTAAAAAAAGAAGCTAATCTGACCGATGCTGCTTTCAACACGTCCGAGTTGGATGTCAACAACGCTCTTAATGTATATAAATCTCAAGGAGACCCGTCGGTCTACGAAAACGCTTACATAATACTGTCAAAATTTGTAGAGACATCTTTAGATATTTATAAACACGAATTGGGCTGTGTCCTTTACCCAGTGTTTGTCCACATGTATTTGGATCTCATTTCTAACAGGTACGAAGAGGAGGCCGTTAAATTTTTGAAAAAGTATGGGCCGGGACAAGAGTCATACTATCAAGACGATATTAGAAATTTATCAATGGTTACAAAAAAAGAAGAATTAAACGATAGCTCATTGGCGCAAAATTATAAATCAAACGAATTTGTTGTAAGAATGTCGAGGGACACTCTATCGCTTTTAAAACGCCATTTAAAAGAAAAGAAACAAACAGTTCTCCTAGACATAGTACAAGAGAACTTGTTCTTTGATGTCTACGAAGGAATAGCTAGAAATAAACAACAAATAGATGCGGTTGCCGGAGGAATGATCGGTGAAGGAGCCAGACAAGATAATAAGTCTAGGGTATACTATGGATTGATGAAAGAGCCCGATCTGCAAATTACAGCAGCAGTAGTAAACATGGACGAAGATGAAGAAGACACCCAAGAAAATGAAAAACCTAAGAAGAAAAAATCAAAAGGCAATCCTTTACTGTCGAAAAAAACAAAAATCGATCCAAATGCTCCACCCGTAGACCGAATGGCTCTACCACAATTAAGAGAGGTAAATTTGTATGTTTTAAAGTATTTGTACATAGTTTGCAAAACAATTATTTAATAAAAACACAACTATGTTTACTTGACCGGTTAAACTGAATAAGTGTAATTTGCGCTTAACTAATTCATTCTTATTTTGCTCAAATATAGAAAATGTATATATAAATTTAATTAAATAAAAATTAATAAATTATGACCTGATTGGTTGTAAAAGTATCATCTGTTTTTGACTCTTGCAATTAGTGTTTTTATCCAAATTTCAAAGGTAATAGCATTTGTTTAAACTGAAACACCACATTAATCGATTTATCAAGTATTTACTTACTTACCAATCATCTATTTAACTGATTTTTGGATTGGGGTAATATGATTTAATCCGGTCATGTAAAATATGGCGGTAGTTTTTTTATATGATATGTCTAAGCTGGTTGATTTTCTGTTTTTCAGATTGACAAAAAAATTAAAATTCAGGCAGTTTTAGATTCTGCCAAAAGAGTTGCTCTAAGCTCAGAAACATTACCTTCGATATGCTGTTATACTTTATTAAATTGTCCCAACGCTGTGAATTGTGCGACAATTAGCGATGACGCTTCAATGTTGGCTGTTGGTCTAGCTAACAGTAGAATACGTGTTTGGAGTTTGGTTCCTCAAAAATTACGGTCGATGAAAACTTCTGACCAGCTCCAGGATATCGACTTGGAAGCGGACGACGTGATGCATAGAATTTTAGACGATCGATCAGCAGAAACTACTCGTACATTACTCGGCCATTACGGTCCTGTGTATCAAGTTTCGTTTAGTCCAGACAAAACGTTATTGCTATCGTGTTCAGAAGACTGTACCATAAGACTATGGAGTTTATTATTGTGGTCTTGTCTAGTGGCATACAAAGGAAGCTATCATCCTGTATTTGACGTTAAATTTAGCCCACATGGTTACTATTTTGCTACAGCCAGCAGAGATCGAACGGCAAGACTTTGGGCCACAGACAATTATCATTCGTTACGATTTTTCAGTGGGCATTTTTCAGACGTAGACTGTTGTCAATTTCATCCAAATTCCAATTATATAGCTACTGGTTCAAGCGACAGAACCGTGAGGTTGTGGGACTGTGTTACCGGAGAACAGGTGCGGCTGATGACTGGGCATAAAGGAGAAATATTAACTTTATGCTTCTCGAACGAAGGTCGAGTCCTAGCATCGGCCGGTAACGATTGTAATGTTCTATTGTGGGATATTGCCCATGGACATCTGCTGGCCATGTTAACGGGGCATAAAGGACCTATTTATACGATAACGTTTAGCAGAGACAGTACAATATTGGCTTCAGGATCTCACGACTGTAAAATAATGCTCTGGGATTACTCGAAAATCGTAGAAGATCTGTCACTAGATGATATGAATGTACACAATCCGAATGTAATAGATGATAGTAATAAATATTTACTTAGAGCATTTGGTACAAAAAATTCACCAGTAGTTCATTTGTTTTTTTCGAGACGAAATATTATGTTTTGCATTTGTTCGTTTAATACATCTCAAGTCTAATTAAGAATACGTTTCAAGATTGAAAATTAAAATTGTTTTTTTTTTTTTATATATGAATTATATGTTGACTATTTTTGTAATTTAATACTCACAAGGAAATTATTTTATTTTCATAACAATATAATATTATGTATCACCAAATCTTTATCAAATAAATATGAGAAGGGTTACTTAATTATTAATTATCTAATAAATTTTATTTTGTACATAAGCGACTAGTTAAATAGTTCATAGGTAGTTATATATTATTTTCGGGTATTAATATAAAACTTAAGCAATTAAAATTTTTTTTATTACTTTTATATTTCCTTTGTTCCCATTGATTTAAATGTTGTTTAAAGTTCACGAGCCACTGTTTAAGCAACATTAAAGTATTGAACAATTTATTAAACATGTAATGGACATGGCGACATAGTTTGATACATGTTTTCGAATGTCTAGGACAACTGATAAAACACAAAGTGGAAACAATTTATGATGAATTAATTAGAAAACAGAAAAAATGTCAACACTGTCTTTTCCAACTTGGCATTAACTTGTTGATCTAACTAATTTTTTGATCTTTATATATATATAACAAATAACAAAACTTAAAAAATATTTTCAGAAAATTTAAATAAATTGAAACAGTTGGAGTATTTAAATTTGGCTCTGAACTGTGTTGAAAAAATAGAAAACTTGGACCGATGCGAATCGTTAAACAAACTAGATTTAACGATGAATTTCATAGGCGAATTAACTAGTGTGGAAACGTTAAAAAACAACATACATTTGAGAACGTTGTGAGTACATCAACAATAATAATTACAAGTTAAATTTTAAAACTAGAATACAGTAAAAAAACTTTTATATTAACTTTTTACTGTCAAACCGGTTGAAATAGTGTTTATAAAATTTTAAAAAGGAGTTTTTACTAATTCCAAATTTCGCTACATTTTAAAACCATTAATATTATTTTTATGGATGGACGTTTGAAAATGCATTAAATTGAGTTATTGTCAAATTATAAGGCAACGTGTACAAACATTTTTGTTTTAGGTTTCTAACGGGTAATCCTTGTACGGATTATGATGGATATCGACAGTATGTTATAGGCACGTTGCCTCAATTGGACACTCTCGACGGCGAAGAAATCACTCATTACGATAAATTAGTAGCCAAACAAATATTGCAAGACATCAAACAAAAGATAATCATCCAACAGTCAGAATACATTAGTTAGTATACAAAAATTAAAATACATGTATATGTACATAGAAATTGTTGCACGTCATTTCGTCATAAGATTTTTTTTACATTTAAATGGTTGATTAAACTGTTTGAACAATGTCTTTACTCGGAATAGGACGTCAAGAAGAAAAGCGTAAATCGTCAAATAAAAATCCTTTGAAAATTATCGAAGAGAACCTAACTACCGAAGTCGACGAGAACGCCGATAAAGAGTACATACAAACTACAATAATTTGTTTGTTTTAAATGTAGTAATTATATATTTTAAATATACTATAATTCAAGAGTTAGTCAAAAAACTAATAATTGGTAGGGTGAAAGTAAATATAAAAACAAAAATCATATTAACACTACTGTAAAATTAAAAAACACGTTATACTTGGGATTTTTAACATAGGTTTTACCCTTCATAAACACAATATTGTTCAGTATGTTAATAATTAATTATGTATTCAATAGCTTTAGTTAAAATTTTAATGAGAAATAACACAATTTTAAAATAACCATCTTGAAGAGTTTGAAATTTAAAAAAAAAAATTGTTGAATTATTAGTTTCTGTGGAATAAAAAAACTAAAAAACACGCTTAAATAGTAAAATAAACTAAAAAGTAGAAAATAATTTTCAATATAGAAATCAATTAATAAAAAATAAATAGTATTATTGTGAAAAAAGTGTGGGGCGCTTTTCAAGAACTGATATATGTAGCACCCCACGCTTTTTTCACAATAATACTATTTATTTTTTATTAATTGATTTCTATATTGAAAATTATTTTCTACTTTTTAGTTTACTTTACTATTTAAGCGTGTTTTTTAGTTTTTTTAAAACTATATTTATTTTCCACTTTTTAGTTCGATGTGCTTTAAAATCGTGTTTTTTTAATTCTAGTACATACGTGTCTCTATTACTTGAAAACTTCAGGTAAACAACAATGAATACACGCATGCACGTTCGGTTGCCTATCTCTTTTAGTTACATAGTTACATACAAACATACATACAAGTGAAGCTAATATAAGCGTGTTATAAAAATAAATAAATTTTATGAGGGGATTCTCTGTTTTAAGGAGTTTTGTATAGGCAATTTAAGAAATATTAGGATTTTAAACATTTTAATATTTTAAGATTTTAATAAATTTTGACCATGTCAATATTAATTCACCGGTCAATTTGTATAAGCTTCAATGTATTATTTTTAATTTAAATATTTTTTTCTATAAGTAAAAGCCATTTTGGTTTATTTTAGACCAAAACGCCAGACAAAATGTCGACTACATTGGATGGTCCAATTTCAATTCTGCAAAGATAAACGAGTTCTTTGGCTACTTTACTATGTTATGTAGCCGATTTTCATTTAAAAATTCCAGAGTACTCGGTATATCTTTACAGAAGTGAAATCGTACCATTCTAAGTAGACGACATTTTTTCTAGATTTATGGTCTAAAACGTCAAAAAAACAGACCGCGTGCAATCCCCTTTAAAATCAAAATGGCATTAGAGCCGTAAAACATTTTTGTTTTTTGAAGTTTTTGGAATAAACCGAGTGAAAACACACCGGAATGTCGAGTTGAAATGGCCATGCACACTAGAAGGGCTCAGCGAAGAAAAGAATCCAAGGAAACGGCCAAGGAAGTTAAATGGCAGCCTAAGTTATTCCGGGACAACGGTCGTCCTTACAATATCAATCAGGCAAAAGTGGGTTACGACATGGAAAACGAAGCGGATCAATACATTTTGACGGTTCAAGTTTACAAGTATGTTATATGTATTTTTATTTAATAATTGTGTTTAAAATTTATCATAGAATAGTGGATCGTGTTGTCGTACCTAATAAACAACTGAAATATGAACTTTATCATTGACCGTTTTTACAATATTTCATTTCAGATATTTGGACACAAGCGAATTAGATGTGGACGTTCAACCTAATTATGTGCGTGTCACGATCAGAAAGAAAATATTACAATTAGTGTTGGACGAAGAGGTTAAAACGGACGAATCCAGCGCAAAGCGTTTAGTGGGATCAAAATTACTTGAAATAACAATGCCAAAGGTAATTGTTGTCGGTTTTAAAAAAAAATTCTATTTTTCAACAAAGTCATGTTTGCAGGCAAAACCCATTATAAGACCAAACCAAAATAAATGCAAGAATATTGGCAAAGTCGTTAATAATATAAGGTAAATTTTTCTTTTTGCATATTGAATAACAGAGTTGGTAAAAATCAACAAGTGTTTATAGATACTCAAAAAAATCAATTTATTTTTATTTTTTTATAAGTAAAACGGTTCTACTGGACGATATGAAAGACAATAAGAAGCCTATCGAATTTTGGAATATTGTTGATGAAAAGAAAACCACAAATAAATTTCAAAACGCTAATGTTCTCGAAGATTTTATAGATAACTCTGAAGTACCACCTTTGGAATAAGAAGTCTTAGTTATAATCGTTAATACCATTTAACAATAACATTAGTTTATATTATATTTGTGATATGCAGTTAACATAAAATTTAGATTTATAAAAATGTGAAAAAGGAAAAGATTGTTAAAACTTACACATGTTCACAAGTTTGGTGATTTTTTTTCTATACAATTTCTATTATTACATTTAAGTCAATTTCACATCAACTAAAAATGGGATACCTATAATATATTGTTAAAAAAATAAAATAAAATTGTGTAATTATTATTTATGGTAATGACAAGAATATAATATAATATTGCTGTTACCTAACAATGTCGTTGGATTCGATTTAAGATTGTCGTTGACATCCTATTGGAATAAGTTCAACAAAAAAATAATATCATGTAGATATAATTATAATAGGGATAAACAAAAAAAATAATTGAATTGTATTTGTGAATACTTCCGTTCTTTTTAATGAATAAATTAACAAAAAAAAATATATATATATTATAGTGATAAAATACAAATAAAACATAATAACACTAAAAGCCGTATATTGAATACATTTTGACAGTGTTTTGTGTTTGGCTAATAGAATTATATTTTTATAAAATAATATTTGTATAAAAATATCTATAATAAGTAAATAGATAATTTATTTTTTTACAACACTGAGCTTAGGAGCTGTAAGCTTACAGATTATAACAACCCTACGAGCTCACTCGGTTTTCATTAAATTTGGCCAACAGGGACACAATTTTATTGTAGAAAAAAATAGTTAAAAATAATAATAATAAAGTATTAAAAAAAAAACTTCCACCGGACAACAACTAATAAAATTGTTCCATTAAAAGCCAATGAATATTAATTGCCCTTTGCGTTTTTTAAGGTAAATATAATGGTGACGTCATGATTTGCATTAGGTATTTTAAAATTATTATTAATGGTAACATAAATATTTACATTTATTTTTATACGATAAGGAACAGATTTACAGACGACAATTTTGCTAAGCATGGTTTTAGAATTTGAAAAACTGTATCTACTTGAACGGTTTAAAATCAAATTATCTAATTAAAATTATATAAAGGTACACAATATATATAAACATATTAGAGCTTAGCAAAACTGCGTCTCGAGATGTTTTATAAAATATCCGTCAATAAAATCTACTTTAAAATTGTCTTAATCGTCGGCCTAACTCAACAACAACGGTTTGACAATCTATCTGATTTTCTATCTATGTTGATTTTTTCCGGTACGTCTGTTGGCTCACGACCAGGCGTTTTGTTTAATATTGACAATGTGAGGTCCGTAAATGCCTTTTCAATATTGATATTGGCTTTTGCAGACGTCTCCAAGAATGATATTCCGTGTTCCCGGGCAATACCCTCCCCACGTGCCTTACTCACGACACGCTTGTCTTCCATATCACATTTGTTTCCCAAAATCATTTTTTCTACATCTTCATTGGCGTGCTAAAAAAAATAGAAAGAAATTTACAAATTTAAAAATAAAGATTAGTATGCACCCTCTTAGGGGGTGAAAGTACCTAATCATTTTTAGTTTTTTTAATGCAAATCGATAAAACAACCTAAAGAATATCCACAAAAATTTGTATCTAATTGACTATTCTTTATGAAGATATAATTTTTAGTTATTGGAATTGAAAAACTTTACATTTTTAGGGTATATATTTATCTATTTCAGGCCTTATAATATTACTGTACCTATTGGGTACAATTTCTGTTCTATAGACTTGCTACATTAAAAAAATAAGTCCAATGGATAAAAAGTTAATAATTTATCAGTTCTCTGCTGTAAATTGAAGCTTAAATAAATTGTATAATATTGTTAATCGAGTTCAAAATGGCCTCAACACAGACACAGCAGATAAAAGTAAATAGCTTAATTTTTGGAAATCGTTACAATCGGCATTTAAACGAGAAAATTCTAGATAATTTTTATAATAATATTAAATAACATTGAACATGAGGCTATTATTCAGATATTGATAAATATTGAATTAATAACAAATTTAAATGCACTGATATTAAAAATTATTATCAATGTATGGGCAAAACTAATTTATTTAATTATGACAGTGGTGGTATAATAATATATCGCAATTACATCGTAACTACTATGTTACAACAATTTGAATACCTTCAATTAACTTTGATATTATATATATATATATATATACATTTTTACTCGGTAGTATATTTATTTAAACATAAGCAGTTAAGCAAGACGAACAGAACAAAAACATTTGAACGGTCTAGAAAAAATAATAAGTTAGGAGAAGAAGGAAATATGTATTAACATTGATCAAAACTCAAAGACCGTGCAAGTACAATTAACAGTGTAACAAAATAATCAAAATTAATTGTTCCTTAATTGAAGATAATAGGGTTAAATTACTTTTAGGTTTGTGAAAATGTTACGTATATTTGACTTTTTTTTACTTCAGACATTTTTTTTTTTTAACTTTTCACGCCAAAACTTCTGTTTTTTTTATTTTTTGAACTCTAGCCAATATAATTTGTATTATTAATAGATGTTAAATTGCGTTTTCTTTTTTTATTATTATCTGACAACGTCAATAATCCATCGAGTATAATTTATAACTTTACACTCACCTCATTTATGTTACGTAACCATTTTACTATATTCTCAAAACTTTTTTCATTTGTTATGTCGTACACCAACATTATACCCATAGCTCCCCGATAGTACGAAGTTGTTATTGTATGGAATCTCTCCTGACCGGCCGTATCCCTAAAAAATATTTAAAAAATTAAATATACAATGAACAATATTAACAATATATAAAAATGTGATCTAATACTATATCGTTTAAAAAAAAAACGGATAGACATTGGTTAACTTAAATAGTATACTGCCCTAATACGAAAGAGCCGATTTTTCTTACACAGGCTCGTTCTATTATTATATACATTATACCCGTTACATAGTATATATCATCAGGTTGATTAACATAATGCTGCAAGTAAATTTTTGGCAAATAAAAAAGTTTACATTTCAACCGTTAGAAAAATAAAAATAAATGCTCTCTTGTAAAATCATACTTTTGTGCATACAAATTATTTTAATTAGGCCAATATACTAATTATTTCAATTAAAAGTATCTATTAACTATTATATTTTATTCTAATTAAAATTTGTTTTTTTCTTTATTATTATCTATTAACTAACCACAATTTAAACGCTTACCATATTTGAAGTTTAATTTTCTTTCCTTGGAGTTCAACAGTTTTAATTTTGAAATCAATTCCTAAAAAAAGAAAACACAAGAAATTTTAAACTTTTAAAAAAACATATATAGATTTTCAGTTTAAATTAACTCTAAAAGGTTTTATTCAATATGTAAGGGTTGTATTATTTTGATCTGGTTGAACATTTTCAAAAGTAGAATGCATATCTTAATAATTAAAATCAATGTGATATGAAGGAAAAATTATAATGTGTAAATTATAACTTACTTAACTAACATAGTTGTGTAATCTAATAAAATAGTAACTAATCTAATAAAAGTATGCGTGCCTTTCACAAATTAAACCTTGAAATAACAAGTTAATGAAATCATTCTCATTGTTTTTTTGTAATAATATCATCATCTCGCCTTTCGGTTTAGAAAACCAATTAGAAGCCATAACGCTGAGATCGGAAAATACCAAAATAAAATTATATTAATACGAGTCTCATTATCTGTTATTAACATTGGTAATAAATAATTTGAATTTTTTTTTTCTAAACAATTAATTTAACTTTAATTGCATTTTAATAGATGGGTGTATTTATTTGCAAGAGTTTTATCAATATGGAGATCAAACGTGACTGGTAGTGAGATAAATGCCAACGGCTTGCACACAAAGTAATAATTGATGCATATCAGATTAATCTGTAAATTGCATACGACACCTTTCACCGGCCTCGTTACCGGTTTTAGGCGTAAATGCATTGACACTCGTCACTTACAAGTAAACGCGTCACCAATTTTAGAATAATTGTTATGCATTTGTCTTTAAGCGGACTACTGCTACAGTCACACTGGGTTATAAAAAATTGTATTGAATTTTGTTGTTCCTTTTTCAAGTGAATCATCATCATCGTTTTTGATAAACAACAGCAGCTGTGCAAGACTAGAGCTGCAATATTTCGTCAATCCGGAAGGAGTGGGGAAGGCATTAATAGAATATAACATATAGAATATCTATTATAATTAATATTATTACTTATTATTATTATTATTAGTATTGTTAGGACAAATATATTTTGACGTTTTTAGGACGGCCGGCGGTGGCGGAAGAAGTGATAATAAAAATATTATAATAATACGCCGAGACGAATAACGATTATTATTATTAAATAAATCTACATAATGACGACGATAACGGCGGTAGCTTCCGTCGCTGTGTGCGTATGGACATAATAATAATAAGGGCGACTAAAAAAAAAAAAAAAGACAAAGGAAACGCGACGTCCTATCGCGAGTGTTTTTGTCGTGTACGTTTTTAAACGACGTTAGGTGTATTATTATTACAAACATGTTTTCCCTGTGCTCACCGATTGTCGATATGAACGTCGTGGTGAACGCGTCATCCGAAAACCTGAACAGTATACAAGTCTTGCCCACGCCCGAATCGCCGATCAGCAACAGTTTGAACAGCAGATCGTACGTCTTCTTTGCCATGTCTGAACGGTGTCGGTCGTCGTGTGGGTGTGTAAAAAGAGTTTACGATTAAACTATTTTATAGTACCCGTTGGGTTGTTTATGTCGACGGGAAATTTTCGCACGGACCGCGGACTCGTAATATTTGTTTATTAAATTTTTTTGGCACGTTTACGTGTTTTTTTTTTTAAGTTTATTTATTTTTATTAGCCCGAAAATATTACTAGTTACGGATAAACGACTACACAACTTAAGAGGCTGACGGATACGACTGGCACGGAATACGAATAGAAGTTAGAACGCACGGCTGAACGGAAGATCGCATTGTACCGTAATAAAATATATGCGACGGACCTCGGACGGCCGCGGTCGTGGTCATGATTAGTAAAATCGTGTTATCTCGGTACGACCAGCAGTGTGACCAACGGCGCGTTCTCGCGGCAACACTGTAACGGTTATTGAAACGGCGATCATAAAATATCTAACAGCGCAGCGGCTATAGTCATTAGTTATTAGTCAATAACGAACTTAATTATTATGAAATATAAAGATATTATAAAATACGTGGGTTCCCTGTATTTTCCTATTGGTAATTATTGGTCACATCCCTGTAGCCCACGAAGAAGAAGGGCGTTAATAATTAATGCATATTATTCTTGTCTATTTCTTTTCGGCTTTGCAGTTGATCTAGCTTTCGTTAGGTAGGTTTTTAACGTCCCGTAAGCATTATATGTGAAAAAAATCAATATTTTAACTGACATTACATAAAAACTTCAGTAACAAACGATCATAATTATAAAATAAATATCATTATTATATCAGTTATTAGTTATTACTTATTACAATTATATTAGGACGAATGCAACTAAACATTCTCCAAAATAAATTCTCGTCCACTTTCCTCTCCCCCCCCATGTCCCCCCAGAGATTAAATTAACATAAAATTTAGCACACTTCATGGACTACGATTACATGTATAACCGTTGATATTGCATATACAAACCAGTTTATATACAAAAAACAAACATGGGAAATTAATAAGTCAATTTGTTTTATATTAAAATTCTATAGGGGACTTTGAATATTTATAAATTCTAAAAGTTCAGTAAACTGAACTAAACCCAAACAAAAATTCTTTGTTTTTAAGTATTATGAGACAACTTAGACACCTCCATTGTGGAGCGCAATACCTATTAAAATATTATGTGTTGAGATAAAATAAAGCTGGAATTTCAAACAAATCCAACCCCCCCCCCCACATCGTTTATGTATTTGTCCCGGGAAATAAAAAAAAGTTACTTATTTTCTTGAGCTCGTATGACACTTGACAGCTCTTTCTTCTATTAGAACTTTTCCCTTCTTCGTTTTTGTAAAAAAAAAAATTCAAATAATATATTTAAAAATAATTGAAAATATATTTGTACCCTGTGACCTGTCCCTGCCCCTTTCCTTTTTCTAAATTTCGCTAAATTAACTTAGCAAAATGGAAAAAAGGAAAGTTCCTAAAATAGTTTGTATTTTCTTTTGCAGTTGTTATAAATTAAAAGTATTTTATTATAAAATTACAGCGAAGTCGTACAAACCATAAAATTAAGTGAGTATACATAGGTAAGGTATTCTTCCTGTAAAGTGAAAGTGAAAAGAACCATTGCAGCAGGTTGTTCCGATACCATAATTGATCTGTGTAACGGTTTTGTTTTTTTGTTTTCTGTATAACTCAGCGTGAATGAATATAGTTTTTGGTTATTTTTTTCTAAGATAGGTACCTAGTTTCAAAATGAAAATGGGCTACAAAAACGCATTACACCTAGTACGCCTATTCCTCGTGCACGGTATATACATGCAATATAATGTACATTACAATGAAATATAAACACAGAATACTCGGTTAAGCAATGTTTGGATCATATGAATATGCGAGGTCATTTACACTCGTTATATCACCGAAAAAATGTTGATTGTTGATGTTTACAATTTAAGAAATTATTTTGTTTTATTTTCGTTAACGACTGTTTTCTAAGAAAGAAGAAACTTACTGTACGCGATGAATATTAAGTTTTGTAATAATGTGAGTTTTCTTATTCGACGGTGGAACACCATTAACAAGTCTAGTTCGTTAATACAAATTCAAAAGAATAAAAATATGTTTTAAGTACACTTATTGATGTATCAGATTTACCATTTTATAGTTTAAGCTGGAAATGTCGTTTAACAGTTAAAGAAACGAATAACACAAACCATTTCCTATTAAATAAAAACATAGTAAAACGGGCAGAACGAATATAAACCATATTATGAGTTTTCATATAAATTAATAAATGTATTAAAAGAGAGAGAAGACGAAAAAGTGAGAGAGAGAATAGATAGAGAGGATTAAATTCGATATACTTGCCAGTTGCCGCTATGCTTGAAAACACACGAAATGGAAAAAAGAAATGGACTTGATTGTTGTCCGATCTTGGAGTGTATATAATTATTTTACTCACAGTCACTTTTGAAATGTTAATAACAAATTGAGTTTCGTAAAAATTCTTCAACCTTCGTGTTCATTAATCACTTAATAAGAAAGAGATTAAAGAGATAAAAATTACTCATATTATTGGCGGGATCCACCAAACAGTAACAAAATGTTTCATTAAAAAACTATAATGTCCCCTTTAGTTTTTTTAGATTCGGCAATTGTTTCTTGTAATAGACTTTTATTTACATTTCATAATCATTGTTGTTAAAACAAAATTGCAGAACTTTGGAACATTTTATTGGCCTTGCTGCTATGAACTTGGCGATTAAAGATACCTACATGATATTTTAATTGGATTTTCTTCACATTATATTAACTTACATAATTACATTAAGATTATTTTATGGTCTTTTACCGTCTAAAATTAGTTGTTCAACAGCTTTGCCACAATGGAATTCGACGTCATTCTTACAGTTTCTATAGTAATATTGTTGCATAGGATACCGCCGGGATAATGTTCGATAGTATTACAAGTACAATCGAATTCCATTCCTTTTTTCTCATTGTGTTCATCACGTTTAACATATTATACTGATTCCTTTTATCCCTTTTCCTGTGAATTATTTGATAATCTGTAAGGTAATATGATGTGTACAGGGTGTTCAATAAGTTTGGATATATAAATTAAATATTATATGTGTATATCAAACACTATAATATGATGTTTATGTAAAATATTGTCTTTTTTGTATCCCGCAGTGCTTTATCTAATGTAACTAATAAATGTGATTAAATTATTCGATTTCAATTTAACAAAAATAATGTTTATTAAACTAAAAAGTGTATACCTATACCTACTTGTTTAGTTATTACTTCTTATAATGGCCAAAGGATCCAAAGAAAGTACAACGATTTTATTAGCTCCAGGAGTTATTAATTTTGTTTTTACTTTCCAAATTGTATTTGTATACTATAATAATTCGTTTACGGTATACTAGTAAGTAGTATTGTTGATTCTTTTTGTAGGTAGTGTTAAACGGTTCTATGTTAGTAAAATTATTCTTATTATAAGTTCCACGGATCATATTTTTATAATGACATAAAACATTTTTTTTTTAGATAAGCTAATACAAACATAATTTGAGCTCTACTAAATGTAATTCATGAAATAATATGTAATAATATGAAACGTGCGGTGTTTTGTCCGTTGTCCATCGTATTTGTTTAAATAATCTGATAAAAAAAAGTCGATTATAAATAATCTATTGTCTTGAACGATTGTTTTCAATTAAAACATGGCTCGCCTCCCATTTTACTGGTTAATCGCAAATCGCTTTAATCTAACTCACTGTACATAATATACCTCTTCGCGTTGTACATTGATGATTTTTAATAACAAAATATTACATACTTTACTGAATAACTATTTAAAAAAAAAAAACAATAAAAAAATATATGTATTTGTATACAATTATTCTACATATAAATAATTTTATTATAAATACCGCCAAGTATAAAAAAATATGTTAATTGTTATAATATATAATAGATATCGAACATGCACATTAAACCAAATCGTGGACATACATAAATTTAGAACTATCAACATTCCCATCGTTGGATAAACATTGTTTGGTCAATATTAGATGACTTTTAATTAGTTTAATATAACGAAGAAGAAAGGCCATACGTCTATGAATAATTTATACATAGCGTACTCTTGTTATAGATATTTATAATTTATACGGTTTATTCTCGTTGGATATTTTGTCTTCTCGTCATTCACTCGTGTTTGTTTTAGTTAAGATTTTAAATTCAAAATTGTTACACGTCAACAGTTGGGTATTATATGTATTTAAGGAAATTTCCATTTTATGCAGCGTTTAACGTTCTCACTGGGACAAATATTGTAATCTGTTAATAACAGTATGCAGAACGCCAAAATAAAAAACTCGAGAAAATATCCATTGCCATTACTAATTAATTACCCACATATACTAACCGCTGTTCAATATGATATTTTTGCATATTATAGTGTTTGATACCAACTTCATCGATTTCTACTTACTATAAGCAAACTACGTGAAAACAGTGCATTTATAGATTTGCGACCCAATGTAATATATAAAGTCTCAAGTCTGAAAACGATTTTTATTTTGTTTATTAATAATATAATTATACTGCGGTTATTTTTAATTAATTTTTTTGACTATTTGGTCAAATCAAATGATACACAATGATATTTTTACTGTACAAATTAAAGACATACCCTACATTTGATCTATGTGTTTCTGAATGCAATTTCTGTGTACTTTTTCCAATAAAAAAACCATGGAGTGTTCATTATACTATAAAACATTATTATATCGATAACAATATAATGCAAAGAAAATGTTTAACGTAGGTACCTAATTAATTTACAGGAAAAATAATAATGGTTTATAGATTAAGAAATGGTCACAAGTCTATTATACTGCACAGTATTTTCGTTGATATCGAACGAGTCGTTTCTAGCCATTTTGCCTATTTCCTCCGAGACATAAATTATGAATGTCGTAGAACTTAGTAAAACTAACAATTTATTTGTATACATAGGTTATTATGCTAAACGCAAGGATTTAGAATTTGCATATGAGAGAGGCAAATCTGGATCAGACCATTGAAAACAATTTTTAAAAATATGCATTTTAATACCAAAAGTGAATAATAATTGTTTTTCGAAAAGTGACATCACGAGTATTATTACATTTTGTTTACATAGTCAGGCGGTTATCTATTATATTTTTTTAATTATTTATAGGTAATAAAACGTTTATTTTTTTTATCGTGACCATAATATGGGTAGCGCGGCTACAAGCTGATTCATGCCCCTGAAATAAACCGGTTGGCCGTCACATACATAACCTTTTTTACATATTAACTGCTATACGCGTAAGTGGATAAATATTATATAAAAAGAAACGTAGATTTAATATTTACATTCATACATATCCTACCGAATGAAAATAATATCGATAAACGATACTACACGAACTCGTCTAGTCTATGAAATCGGTGTAATATTTCAAAATCATTTGACCTTTCTCGATAGACCTTCAATAGTCAATAAGATATAATTTGTATTATATTTATAACATTATTTTGTCTTACAACAACTTTAAGAAATGGCTAATTAACCTAACCATACCTAACAAAGCTCAGTTGTTAATTTCAGAAAAAATCTACCTTCTTGAAAAATACTGATGAAAATTCACAGTTAAGTAGTGTCGTGAAAACGGAACAATAAAATTTAACATCGGAAATAATGTTAAAAATAAAATGTTTGCTCATTGATAACAAAAATTCATTAATTACATAACACGTAAAGTTCAATCACAAGCGTTTAATTAACTTCAAATAATATTATAATTTCATAATTTACATCTTCAATCAAATGAATTAATTACAAGGAAAACTATACAGTTATAACTTATAAATAACATGCGATAATCGTTTGACACTTATCAAGGGCGTAAATATCTTTGAAACTTGCATGGCTTTCAAGTTGATTACAATATAATCAATTTAAGAATTGATGGGAAACAACATGATTAATACTATAAACTATTACACTATTATTTGTAGTAACTGTGATAGGAAATAAACTTGGCTAAGTTTTAGAAGAGTTTAAGCAGAATTGTTCATTAGTCGAATAATTATTATATTTGTACTTCGATTCTAACGTTATTCGATTTGTTTTTAGTTGTTATTCGTTGTTTAATTACAAACTTCCCAATTTCGTGTTTAAGTAATTTGAAAATACATCTCTTTGATTAATTTACATAATTTATGATTCATAAATTACGGTAATTTGTTGGTATAAATACACCAGATTGACGTTTAGTTTTTTGATTGATATAATATAGTTGTAAAATTAATAAAATCAAGATTCCTCGAATTTCGATTTGTAAAATTTGAAAATAGCCAAAAAAAAGTAAACTTAATATATTTTATAGATGTTATTAATTAAATATTTAAACAAAAAATTCTAACTCTAAAAAAAAAATTTGATAAATAAAATATACGATTAAATTGATTAATACAACATAGAGGATAAACATTGGTAAATGGCTAAGGGACTAACATTAAGGAGAGTTTGATAAACTATGGAGACACGTTTTTATAAATGTTAATAAACAGGTAGAAAGACAGAACTACAAAAAAAACCTAATTCATTTGTTCTTACTTCAAGCTGAGTCGGTAAAGCTGCGAATGAAAAACGGAGGTGACCAAAATTAATCGACTGAAGTTTGGTCCAAAACATTTGACTAATTCACAAAAACCCGATGAACCTTTTATGTTTTTGATACATTTTACATGCTCCCTAAAATCGATAGTCTCCATTTAACCGCTTAAGACCCAAGTAGGAATAACATAAAAATAGCATGATATTGTATTGTTATTATATGCTTAACCTCGTAACAAAATTAACTATAAATATTATATTATTGAACTCGAGTTTATTTACGGCCATTAAAATATTTATTATAAATCAAAATTAGATAATTTTACTTCAGTAGTAAAAAAATAACATATAAATGTTGGGACAAAAACGTGGTTGATGCCGAACACGAAACTAAATAACTAGTTTCAGTAAACACATTTGTATCATCTATAAAAACACAATATGCCAGTTGTACTAACATTGCTTACTCGTGGTCGTATAACTTGTATCAGCGTACAAACTACTGTTAAATAAGTATCAATGACGGTGTAAAGTTGTACGACATTAATTTATTTCTAACACAAGCGGTCTTCTACAGTTTTCACGGCGCACCAACTAACACAAGTGACAAGTATAATAAACTTTTAATGTATAATTTTTCAGTAGTGTTCCAAAAACAATCGCACGTTCGCCGGTTCTTCTATTGAAATTTTATTTTTTTGTTAAGATACTTAAACGAATGGTTAATAAATAAATCGTTCAATAGAATAGTACAAAACCTATACCAAATTTGGACATTTTTTATTTAAATAGTAAATTTGAAATATTAATGTAAAAATAATGAGTTATTTAAAATACATTTTTTTAAAAAAAATTGTTTTTAATTTTAATTTTATTATTCGAATTAAAAAAAAACAATTAAATAATGTCCATCTTTGTTATGTAATGGTTACTAATGTTAGCATTAAGGCAATCTTTAATTAAATATCTTCAACTAATCAAAGGACGTACTCGATAACTTTATTTCAAAAATTTCATTTAATAATAACAACTCATAGACACTCTATTTTAAGTACAATGTATAGAAAATAATCACATGTTATATATAAAAAAGAAACAAAAACGTTATTGGAAATTGACTATTATTAGTAGTACAAAAAATAAATATAAAATTATCGTTTAGTTGCCGCTCATTTTGTATGGTAATGAACATTTTTTAAATATTTTATAATATTATGTTGATAAACTTATACACTATTTACAGGCAAAGTACACATCAATAATTAATTGTTATTATAATATAATTCTTATTATACTAAATATGTATCAGGGGTATTGCGACGGCTTAAGGTACCATATAATTTACAGAATACAGAATAACGGCGAGAAGTCGTTCGTTACAAGAGTGATCAAGAACAAAATAATATTATTTTATATGATCATCCTGTAAACTTTATTCGTTAGTTGTTAAAACGTTTGGAAGCAAGTAAGAAACAGATAGATCAGCCACAAAACGACGAATATTCCCACGGTCAAGTATCGTCCTTTTTGTGGGCCACCCAACTCGGCTTTGCCAAAGAATTCCATGTTTCTTCGGACCATCAACACGGACACAGCCAAAATGGCCATAATCGAATACAACACCACGTTGGTGCCGATTTGGTTGGACGGAACGTTGAACACACGGTCCTGGAAAAAAACATAAGTAAAAAAATTGAGTAAACACTATGAAAAAGTAAAAAATTACCCCTCAAAAAGTTGCTACTGTCTTACATATTATAACATAATGTTCATACTCCAAAAAAACGTGTCTTTTAAGGGAACTGGCAAAAGCTGATGTCATACTATCCTAATAGCAGAAACATTTTTAAAAAACACTACCACGAACGCTGTAATAAATAAATGTTGAATATCGTAATAATTACAATTTATCTATCCTTAAATTGTTTTTTTAGATAGGTACTATTAAAATTGTTTAGTAGCCATATTATGACATGAGAAAATTTTAATTCCGTCCATCGACAGGTTTGGCGACATGTTCTATAACACCTCAAAATCTACTTTTTGCACTTGCCTACATATTTTGGCCTTTGAACACAGAATTATATAAGTAGGTAATAAATATTAACAGGGTGTTTTTTTTATGGAGAAAACAATTATTATAAGATAGTCAGTTGACAAGAGACAGACAATCAACTGATCGTAAGTGATATTCATGATCTTATGTTTTGCCTTCAAGGGAAAAATTGTTTTTTTTTTTTTTTTGTGGGGGAGTTTGGTATATTTAAAGAATTTGCCGGGTATCTATATACGTGTGACCAATCCATACTCACGTGTTGATGGTGGTATAGTGCGGCTATAAACCAAGGTAGACCGACACCCATCAGGACCTTAACCGCTATCGAGCCGGCAATATGTATCATAGCCTCGTCAGCGTGGGTTTCCGCCCGCGTGACCATGCACGCTCCCAAGATATCCGGCAACGACATGCCCAAGGCCACGACCGTTATGGCTACAAAAACAAAACAAAAAACAATTAGGCACCTTAATTATCATCGTCAAAAACTGCTTTATAGCTCAAGTGTTAGTCATCGCATTTACACCGTCTCCGACGGTTCAAAAAATAAACATCAGTATTATTATTTCAGGTCATACTATGTTTTAAGCGCACTCTCCAATTAACTATCGCCCCCATGTACGTCGTGTCGCAGTCTAACAGTACATCAATTATTAGTCGAGAACTTACAACGCCAACAGTCAGCTATATCGCACTTGACACAGTGCCGAAGATATACAATAATTAAGGAATACAAAAGCGTGTGTTTGTATCGTAACACTTAAAAGAATGGAATTTTTTTTTACTGGTTACATTAAATAGTGATTGAACTCGGTTTTGTTATTAGTACTTGTAACATAACTTCGATTATACAGCAAAAGGTTAGCTTTGGAGTGAGGAGGAAACCGGATGACAGTCATATCAAACACAGTTTGTTAATTAAAAAGTTGAAAATGCCTATCCCTCCCACGTAAAAACCCGAAAATTATCTTTAACAAATTAGTACGACTATGTTTTTTACTTTGACACTCGACTACTTGAAAAAAAAAATCTGAAGAATTCCGAATTTACTTTACAGTACTCGCTTTAGAACAGTCCCCTATCATAGTACAGTAAAACAATAAGAGTGTATCTTACCCTACATCCCACTTCATTACAGTGTTGAAGTTTTTCCTTTATATTTTTTTATTTTAATATTACATTAATTATAATTATTTTTTCTACGCGTAGTTTTAGGACTTATGATCTGTAAAGTAGATCGTCTTGATGGGTACCAAGGTTAACCAGAAAAAATTTATATAAAAATATATGATAGTTTAAAAACATATTTCCCTCTCCCCTAGGGTATAAACAAAAAAACAAATTATAGGAGTTTGGTTTCTGAGTTATTGAGCTTAAATAGTCTAACCCACGATAAAAGTTATTCTTTAACTTATTTTTATATTCTTTTATTTATTTTATTAACGTTTTTTATAAACTACCAAAAAAGTTATTATTACTACTTTTTAAATAAATGTTTTTGGGATACTGGATACCAAATATTGTGTGGCTTTTGTCCAATCGCCGGCTTTTCTCTAAAGTCTTTAATACATCCGTGTGGCGTATAGCTTACTATAAGACCACAGCATAAATGAAATCAAAATTAAACCTATTGTGTAAACAAAAAATGGCGGCCATTTTCTCAGTGGAAAGAAACGAAAGTATAAAATAGATATAAGAATAAAAGAACAGCCACTGAGAAAATGACCGAAGGTCATAGATAATGCGTCATATATTTCTCATGTTAAATTATGTTTCTATTCGGATTTCACTTATTCCGTGGTAAGACATCGTTACAGTTAAGAGGACGCCACACAATTTTGGATGTAAAACTAGATATTTCTTACAGCCGTATTTTTTTGTAATAGCCGTACAGTCATTTTTTAAAACGTATAGAAAATTATTATGCATCAACATTTGTACAATCGATAGAGCAAAATTTTCAAAGTAGGCACATTCAATGCTTATTTTCCAATTAAGATGTTGACGAAAATTTTCCAAACAAACTAACCCCCCTCCTCCAAATAGTTTAAGATTCGGATCAAAAGCATTAATCATATTATACATGCTGCGATATATACCTGTCACGATGTCGTCCAAACCGATCAGGCAACCGAAAATAGTCGCTAAGTCACCGATCGTGGTGGCCATGATACCGATAAGTATCAACGAGCTGAAGAACCTTGGCCAGCCGTAGAATATGGTCGCTGGTGGTATAAACGAGAACAGCACTTTCCAGAAGAACGAGAAAAAATGCATCACGTAAGTGGCAGTAGTTGCGTTTTCCAAGTCGCCACCGTTTACTGTCATGGCTGCCTTTATCTGTTCCGCCCAAGTCTGTCGGTGCAACTCGATTGCATGAATATTGATATTGGTCAGCAACATCAAACGGTCCACTACCGAATCGAAGTCTGCAACAACCAAGAGTCATTTGACTACACAATGATCAACCTAGGTCATATCGAAGGTACGTCTAAATGTAAAAACAATAAGGAGTAAATGTGTATAGGAAACCTTGCGGATAAAAGCAACAGAATTGGGCATATAAGTTCTATTGAATGGATTTTAAAAATTCTAAACTTGGAATTTTGAATACACGTGTTTTTTTTTTATAGGAATTTGAACGATTATTTCAGTGTAACTGAGGTATAAATATTTTAAGTATAATACAGTATTCGATAGCACATTGGTTCTACATTTATTTAGTTGGCAAAAAAAAAAGCCAGTGGGTTTTTTATTTAAGCCCAGCAAATGTTTGGTATTTACCCGAAAGTATAGTTTTGTTGGGGGAGTTTATGTATACCTGTAAAAAATGGCCAAGTCGGACATTAAAAAAAAACCCGGTTTATAATTTTGATGTTCAATGATTAAAAGCTAACATGAGGGATTTATTAAACTGACCTGAAATATTTATTATTTTACTAAACGTTGTAACACATCATGTTCACACGATTAAACGCTTTTAATAAAAATGTATAGCCGTTGAACTAAACAAAATTTGCATTTACCTTAGTATCTTATAATATTGTAGATCATAAATATTCGAAATTTAATTTGTCTTTTATTAATTACCTTAGTAATTAGAATCGCAGTAAAATAATTAAATTTAAATTAGGCTGTAATTTTTTTCTGAAAAATTAGAATTTCGATTTTTTTTTAAATTATTTAAAAATTGCGTTGTTTTAATAAGCAATAAAAAAAATCACTACGACTTATTTAAGTCAGCTTAATTTTCCTAGAAATCCAATCTGCACATAGAAACTTTCCGTGTGCAAGTTTACAAAATGTCACTTCCTATTTAGTTTTGGGATTAAGGAAAACAATACCTAAACACAACAATAGTGTTAAAATTTAAACTTTAAATGAGTAACTTTTTGTACACTAAATGAGCGTCAAGTATATCAAACCTTAATATAAATCGTTATTGTATTATAATTTCATAAAGAACAGGGATGAAAATTCGGGAGGAGGGGATTTGGGTCCCCGAGCCAGGTTTTCTCTAGTTAACAAGTGAACTTGTCAGCGATTCGGATTAAAAGATAATGAAAATTTGCAAAACAATTGTTTTAAACCTACGGTAGTAGTAAAAACCGTGGTCCTTGAAGCTTTTAAAAAACAAAATAATTAAGTGATTTTTTTATGTGGCCTCGTGAAACTTTAAATGGCGTGGCTTCTAGAAATCTCGCAAGTATAACTGTGAATTGTTAAAGAATCCTTATTACTATAACATTATATTTTGTACGGTCTCTAATAATCTAGTTGCACCTTCTGCTTCCTGTGAACTGAGTTCTTAGTATGAACTCTAATTTCCTTAGACTGAATCAAATATAAATATTCTTATAATTATTAAAATACATTTTCGTAAAATGCGCAACACATAAAAATAGCGGAAATCCGGTTTTCCGTTACTTAAGGGAAGACAATTTAAATTATAAAAGCCAAATAAAATCAATTGTATTTGTATTTTATTTAAATCAATTATTATTCGAATGAAATATAATTTTTTTATTTCAATTTATACGTTATTCGATTGGTTTGTTTTAGTTGTTATTCGTTGTATATTTACATATTGCTCAACACTAGACGAAAAAATCCTATAAAATAAATGTTTTTTTGTTATTGTGTCATTTTAGTTTTGAAATATGACTGATAAGTGATAACGTTTAAAGTTGATAAATGTTTTACTCGACCTAGAAATTTTTAGAGTATTTGCGGTGCAGTAAGATTAGGTCACTGTACATACCTTTTTATGGATGTGCTAAACAGAGGGGAATAAGGTTATGATCTTACACGGTACACAAACAGCCATCGCTGTCACCCTTCTAGGAAAGGCTTTGCTACCCTATAAGTTTTTGAAAATGTAAAGATATCGTCACATTAATTATAAATACGTTTTTGTTACAGGACAATGGTCAGAGGCGAGCATATTTTATTAAGATAAAAACGGACTACCAAAGGTATACCTAGCAACTCTCACATGACGGGTCTGGATCAATAACTAAAAGCTATTGGCCGTTATTCTAATAGCCTATGACATTGCGTTTCGGACCGAGGACGAATAGAGGAGCAGATGGCAGAAAAATATATGCACATAAAAGAGCACTTACCATCGTCGCTGCTGATGGTGACAGCCGTTCTGTTGACGTTTCCTATTTTAGCACCTCCGGTAGCACCGTACAGTTCGATTTCGAAACATTCGTCTTTTTCCGGGCACATGTCGTTGATGATTTCGATTTTCAACACTTTGGCTACTTCTTTGTCTTTGAATATGATTTCTCCTTGGCCGCCCACATAGTCTCTTCCCGAAATGGCCGACTCGTCTATGGTCCTCCATTTGACCGTGACCTCACTGTCCGAACCGTGGGTTCTGACAATGGGAACTTCCACAAACCCTGCGCTTTCCTTGACCAATAGTCCTCGTTTGCCGAAACTGATGATACCCGGCTCTGTGCGGTAATGAATTATATTAAAATACAAATATGAACTATGATAATAATCAACAACACAATATTGTTACAAGGGCATACCGTCGTTGTCGATGATCGTTACTTCTATAATAGATATGCTACCGAGTTTCACGAACAGGTCTTTTTGGTGTACGACCGACAGTCTAAGGAAGAACACTTCGTCGGGTTCCCATTGGTTGTCGTCGAGGATTTTCACATTTATCTTTGAGTGATAACAAACCATAATGGTATTATTAATTTTATTAGTAATAGTGACATAAATCCGAGTTATCCAAAATACCAAAAAATCCAAATTTTGTATTTTAAAATAGAATTATAAGTTATTTCAAATAAAGTTTTATTTATAAAAAAAAAGATGTGTGCAACGTCATATTAATTATAAATTCAAAAATGTTTTATCTTAAGTTAGCATTTTTTTTTACAAAATATCAAATAACATAGATCCAATTTTAAAATTTTAAATTCTGATTTCGAAAAATTTCCGAGTTTTACCCATCACTATTATTAATACAAAATTAACGTCATTAGTTTCAAATCGAAATTAGCGTTATTCTGACCTGTTTTTCCTCTTCGTCTTCTTCGAACCTGACGATTTCTTTAACTTTGTCATAGTCTTCGCCTTCTTTGGCCGTTCCGTTGATACTGTCGACCCTGAAAAACGGCAAGAGTATCCCGACGTATTGTACAACTCGGTCACACAAATAAATTGTTGTTTATTCAATGCATTATTACCTGACGATAGATTTGGTTTTTAAATTTCCGTGTCTCCAAATGGTCACTGGAAAAGTGCCAATATTTTCTTTGACGGCAACATTGGGGGAATGAAATTCGACAATGGCAAATTTGTTGTCGACAGCAGGAACGGGCGGCAATGCGTCGAACGCTCCTCCTTTTTTATCGCTTTTTAGTACGGCATAAACCTTTTCAACAGAGATCACATTTTGAGTGAAAAAAAATTAATTTATAAAAAAACTGCTACGAAACAACAATATTTCACCTATCAAACCTAATCCGAGCACAGGAATTTTAATGAACTGCTTTGGACACAACTTAGTTTTTTTTCCCTCAAAACATGTTTTATGGGCAAAAAAAAATCAGTCTAGGAAGGGTCGTCCGTTTTTCCATTAAGTATTTTTTTAATCACCAAAACGACTAAAACTAATTAAAAACTTGAAAAAACCAACAGCTGTAAACACCCATAAGCTATTATAAATTACTCGGCGAAAACAAATCGACGCTACGTGATAAAATCTATTTAAATATACTTATTTTGTCCAATATTGCCCTTCAATAACGTACATTAAAACAACATTTAATACGATAAATACAATTTAAAGATAATCGTACAATTTAAAAATAATTCCTTGAGTGGGACTTATATAAGTTAAGATCATGTTTGAAGGAGAGACATGTGTTTACAGAATCCTAACCTTTGTTTTTGCAGCACAAAAAACGGCACGTGCGACGTGCTATTGAAATAAAAACTCCAGAAATAGTCTATTCATTCATTTTCCCGTATTTCGGGGGGAAGTAATTGACTATTTCAACTTTGAATTCCGAATGTATTTTCCGGATACAATCGAGATGCCGGTCGAGCTAACGGGTACAATGATATCGGTTACACAAATACAAACGCATCATTGAAAACCTTTGCATCGCTACTTTATCGTTGAAAAGATACCATTCATTACCTGCTTTAGATGTTCGGTGAGCACGGGTTCGATTTGCTTGCCACCTGTAAACCGTCGAACGGCGCCAATACGATACCACATGGCTCCGCGGTGAGACGAATCCAACAGCTTGGTAGCTGCCAATTTAGCCGCGTCCGCGTCGGTAATGCCGGGATACTTTTTCACGTTCCTCACGAAATTCAGTAGGTTTTCCTTGTCCAATTTGCCGTTGTTGAAAATCGGCTGAATGTGCGGTTTATCTGGTGCGCGGCAGAGCCGAACCAAAGGAAATCGAATGCTATAGTCCAGACATTTACACGCATACAATAACAATAATTGTAAAATATACTCACTCTGATTTTCCAACGTGACCAGGTCCATTTGGTGTTTGTTGTGTGCGACGCTTTTGCCGCACCATTTCGTGTCCGTCGCGTAAGCGAAAAACATAAGAATCGGAAACAACAAAAAAGTCATTGCCGCTTCCCATAGTTCGATCACGTTAGGCGAAATCACATCAATGATTAATAGCAGCCAGATATAGGCGAAAAAACTGAACGCCCCGATGACTAAAAATACCTAACAAAGACACTCGATTAATCTTTTCACCTTGACACTAGACAGTTTGTCACCCAAAAAATGTACATCTGATTACCAAATAAAGAAATACAATATACTTCACCGCGTCTAAAGTTATCAAGAAAAAAAATTTTACCTATTTAATTTAGCAAAAATTGATCCAACGAAGCAGCCTACCTAAGCGAAAGAGAAAAACTGATAAAACTACAATAATACTAACAATGATATAAAGAAACGAGTGTTGACCGTCGAATAAGAGGAATGAAAGGAAAATATAATTAACCGAAGTAAAAATAACAAGATAGAGTGACTAAAAAAATTATAAAAGAGATATTTTGGTAGATGCACCAAAAGCAAAACAATAAAATAGTAAAACGAGAGTAAAAGAATTGAGATATAGAGATAGATCGAAGAATAATAGGATAGATAGTGGATGTTAAACAATGGAATTGATTTAAGCAGATAATAAAATGTGGAAACTAGAATGGGACTAAGTCAAAAATATTTTAGTAACGATACCAATTTTAAGTTTTACTTTTTAATTTCTACTATTGTCATTGAATTTGTCGTTTGAAGAGTCTCAAATTAAGGTGACGGATTCGGATAGAATGCTTAAATTTATTCGCTTGAGTTCAATTTGGGTCTCAGCCCTTAGCATTACAATAAGAATGAAAAGAAAAAAATGTTAGTTCCGTTTTAAAAATATGAATCTTTTCGCATTTTAACTCTTTTTTTTCCCCTATTACACAAATCCAACATAATCGAAATTTATTTTTTAACCAGTGGGTGACAATTTGTTCGCGGTCAATTGGTTAATCGTAGAAACATTATTATTACTTTTAAGTCGTGTATTCTTCTCTTTTCGTCCAGTCCCAGCGTCAGTGTACACAGACTGGTAATGATCAACAAGTTGAAAGCAGCCGATCCAACGATGATGTTCGGCCCGAGTTTTCTGGCTTCGAAATGATGTCCGACCGTCTCGATAATAGACAGCAATATTTCGGGCGACGAAGTACCTATTATGTGAGTGGTGATAACATATTTAATACTATGCCCGTGTAAAATTCATACACACGAGCGCTTATTACTAACCCAAAGCCATTAGAGTGAGATTCGCTATTGTCGGGTTCCACACGCGGACCTCGATCACTTCGGGCTGGTCCGGTCTGAGAAAAGCGTTCGACCCGTTTTCCGTCAGTTCTTTGGCCAGGTAAATTTTTTTCGTATGACTAGTGATTTTATCAATGGCGATCATGAACACGTCCGTCACGATCGATATTCCCAACAGCGAATACATTAACGCTAGTATATAAATGACCACTCGTAATTTGATGGGCCATAGCCGTTCGTCGAAAATCGGCAGGATCAAACCACCCGGGCAAACGTCCTCTGGGCCCCAAGGATATGTGCTGGCGTTACCGTGACCCATCTTCTCAACTTTAAACACAACAATTTAAAACTATTAAAAAATGTACTAACACAAACGTTTTTTACAGATAAAAATATATGCATGTGTACACAATACATTTTGCATGTCACTGCATAAAGATAACACATACCGTGAGTTTTATTCAATGTCGGTTGTCATCACTAGGTCGACGATACCGAGAGGCGAGAACTTAGAAATAAATAATTTGGGCATTATGTCGTTGTTAAATTAGTGAAATTATTTCAATGGTTACAAATCATAAACAGTAAAAATGAAAATAACTCAGTCTTGTCTTTCTTGTTATCGATGGGAATTTTAAAAGAATTGGTTTCTTTTGTGTGCATCTTTCCTTAAAAAAACATTATTCTCCAATTAAATAAAACAAAAAATTGAAAGTTTTTTTATTTTTATAATCTCACACATGACACTGTGGCAGTTACATACAGCAAAGGGTTTGTGGGGAATCAGTTATCCTATGGTAATAATTATCCTTACCCAGACGCTCACGTATATTCAAGAAAGGGAGTACTAAATGCACTATTTTTGAAACCCTTTTAACAGTTAATACCTCCTCTTATAGTACTTAAATGGATTGAAACAAAAATGTATGTATAAAAGGAATGTTGACTGTAAATCCTAACAACCTCTGTTTTAATATATAAAAACATTTTTTTTAAGTCTGTTACAAAATAAATTGCTAAATTATTAATAAAATAATGTGATTTTAAAGCCGGGTTCACACGACTCGTCGAATATATAGCGAATACCGAATGTGTAGCATCCCTTTGACTTGTGTCGCATTTACCGGCAATCCGCGGGAAGAGGACGAATACCGAATATTCGGCGAATAGACGAACAGAGTCGTGTGAACCCAGCTTAAGACAAGTTCTTGTTTTATAAGTGCGTCCGGTTTAATGTACTTTTGGAGTGAAATTTGGTTAAATCGCCATTGAAATAATAATTTTCGTAAACTATCGTAACTACAGATACTAAATTTGTGTTTTTTTTTACACATTCCTTCAATAATAACTTTCATAAACCAACACTTATCTTGAATTTGGTTTTTTTAAAACTTGATTAAATTTGTATTTTATATCCAACCGATTTTTATAACCTAGTCATATCGGTAACGTACAATAAAATATGAGAGTTGGTAAATAAACCGCATTCGTAAGTATAATTTGTACGCACCTAATTTAAAAATATAGTTTTATCGCATCATCCCTCTAAATTATATACGAATCAGCAAAGGGTTACTACTTTAATAGGTTCTTTTTGCCTCTAAAAGTGTTAGAAGATCAAAAAAACACAAGACATTATAAAAACATTAGACTCTAATTTGATTCCTTTAAAATATTCAAATATATGTTTATAGTAATAAGAAAAAAAGGGTCCCTTCAGATTTATTTCTATCTTTCTACTACATCTTATAAACGAAATATGCAGAGTAATAAGTCACTGAAGAGTTATAAGTTAACTTCTTTAGTTTGAAAAAATATTTAAACAAATTATTCATAACAGAAGATTGAGAAGTTAAAACAGTTCACGTCACCATTACCAGTTGTGAATTGTGATTTGTGTGCACTACAAAACGCTTTCAAATAATATTTTAAATCTAAGCTGAAAGTTATTAGCAACTTGGTAACATCGCTTTATTAAAAGTTTCAAATAATCCATAATATAATTATATATTATGATTTATTAAAAGTTTAAATTACTTCTATATTGTAAAATATACCTATTATTCACCAAGTATGTCTGAAGTAAAACTTTTATACATTTATTTCTCATAACAGGATCAAAATACATATTGTATTACTACATTGTTAATGTAATTACAAATTTTCTTTAATTTTGATAGTCCTTGTTATTATTAAATTAACGTAGAAAAGATATAATATACCAACTAAAAAATATTTATGTAATTATTCCGCTTATATAACATGGTATAATAATGTATTTAATTTTTTTAACAAATACAAATTAACAAGGTTTGTTGTAATAATAACTAAAAACATGCGTTATCTACTAAAAGTACTTAGTTATACCAATTTCATTTTCATATAAAATTCAAATGATAAACTATAACAATTTAGTAATTAACATTTTAGTACAATTAAAATGTCCTTCTTAAGTATGTATAGAGTTTATCGCAGGATAATTTATAATACGTTTTAAAAACAAGAAAAACATACAAATTTAAATGATTTACATAAAAAGGCTATATTATTTATAACGAAAATAAATATGATAACGAAGAAGTCTTGAATTTTAAATATTTCTACTATTTCAAAAACCCTGTTTCCTGTACAAAAATATTAATTTATATTTATAAAGCGAAATAAAACTCGCATACCCGGGTTTCCGGATCATAAAATTAATGCATCTGGCTGTGTCTTTTAATAAATTCGCACGCCAAAAAGTCTTTCTTTGACAAATTTGAAGGAGACGATGCGATGGCCTTATAAATATTATCTTTACAAATTTTATTGGTCTACGAATATGCATGCGTTACTTTATAATAGCTATAATTAGAAGTTCAACCGTCAGATGAACGTAACCGACGGTAGCAGTTTATGAACATCAAACAAAATAATAAAATGTCTATTATAAGTTATAAGTTTTTGAAGTTTTCAACAAATTTAAAGTTTATTAGCATAATATGCATTTACGTGCCAAAGCGTTTGCTGAATTGTTGAATTAAAAACTTCTGAGCGTATTTTTATGATGACTATTAGAAAAATAGTTCATTTTCAATTGACGGATTTTGTCAATTAAAATAATAAAAGATTCCGCGTTTTGACTATTGAGTATTAAATTTCTGAAATTCTAAACGATGATAACGTATTAGCGTATATTGTTACTTTAGCTTAAGTTTTTACTAACAAAATATCTCTAAACTTTTTTTATGTAATTTGTACAAAGTCAAGAGTTTGGAAAACGGTTCACTTTTCTCGTCAGACGGATTTTACAAAAAACAGTATGTATGGGGGGGGGGAGAGTAGGTACAGCGTTATTTTACTAGAAGTATTATATTTCTGAAAACCTAAAGGCTAAACGACGATAATCGGACATATGCTGGAATAACTACAAGGAATCGTTGAAACAAAATTGTATATAGCCATCATCCTAAAAAAAGAGTGGTAAGAGGTTACTGGTTTTAATAAATATGAAAAAGTTTCAAAGTAATACTATCATTAATAACCAACAAAAAACGCTTTGGTGGGGAATCTGTATTATTTAATTCATGGGCATTCTTGAAGGGGACGTGGCAGGAACGACTCTCCTGGGATTTCTGTGTTTGTGTTTTTATTTATACTTCAAATTAATTAAAATCTATTATATATAATTATTGTATTTATCTTTATCTGAAACTTTATATTTTATACCAAACACAAGTATAAAATATATGTTATCATATTATTTATCAATTAATCATATTTAAACTTGATAAGCAAATATATAAAAGGAAGGTTCAGCTTTCATGGTGACAACATAATACTTTTACCCCAACTTGATGAGGTATATATGTATATGTTTATTGACACTTCATTGAGCTAAAAAATGTCGTTCCTCTTCCTGCATTTTTACAAATGAACGCCTGTGGGTTCTTTTCAATTATAAATCACTCCGTATAATCTTCAGACCGTAAATTCGAAAATTCCGAACATACATATTGACTAATAAAGAAAAATTCTATCCCTTTTGAAGTTAAAAGTTGATGATTTAGTTCTTGCGTTTACTGTCGTTCTGTGGCTATAATCATATCCAATGAAATTCTAATAACTATTAGTTTAATTGTATAGACTACATTATAAATTAATACATACAGACTAGTTACCTTCAGTACCTGTGATGAATGAACTATGGGCTGTGGTATATAAAGAACCGTTTGGAAAGTTAAAAAAATATCTTGGGTCCAGTTATAAAAAAAAGGCATAGCAAAACCGATACCTTTTCAGATTTGCTGTTAACGAAAAAAACTGATATTCAACGTAACATCAGCTTCTGTAAGTATTTGGGGAACAAAAATACCATTATGATAATACAGTTGACGTTTTTTGCCTCAATAAACCGTTTATTGATTACTATGTTGTGTCTATGGTTTAGTGATTTGTGAACCGTACAACGAAAGTCCAGCTAGTAATGCAATGAAACATTTTACTCTTACAATCTTCCTAACAGGGACTGTAACAACGGCGTTAAATCCTATCAACGAAATTTAAATAACTGATTTTCGTCAACGGGGAAATGGTATTAGCGATTAAGTACTTATGTTCGCACTTCGCAAGAATATTGTTATTTGTAGTAAATTCACTACGTATCTAATAATAATAAAATACATCATCACGTCATTATTATTTTTGCGGTGGACGACGCGCAAATGCATTTCTTTCTCTACGTGTATTAAGTTGGGATAAAGCGAAATTGCCAAAATTGGACAAGTAATAAATACGACACTCGAGTTGGAACTCAAGACGATAAATTGAAGGGAGTTTTGAAATGAAGAAAGCCGAAAATTATGGCAAGCCATTATATTTTTATTAATAACATTAGCCGCCTCTGTGAATCCTTGACGCACATATTATTATGATAGCCTCTGATGTCATGCCTAACAGTAACGCGCCTTCCTACTTGTTGCCATGTATATGTAAAAATATAAAACACCTTCCGACCCATAACTGGTTTTTTTTATCACTTTTTCAATAATGCTGAATTTAATCAAAACGTTAAACGTCGACTGCATTGAAATGTCGTATTGCTGCACTGCTATTTAATATGCGAACGATTCGGTAAAATTGTACGACCTTTCATTTGTCTACAAATATAAATATTTGAATAAAATATGTATATATTTTTTTTTTTTTGACAGATTTGTAATTTTTTAAATTATAACATATATTGTTTTAATTAAAAGTGGAACTATAGACATTAAAATCAATTGGTTCGGCCATTTCAAAAACGAATTTTTTTTTAACCTTCTAAATCCTTCAGATAAGCTGCTGGTTGTCTATTTACTTCATTATTATTTATTAATAATTAAATTTAAGAAACTTCTGTTACCTATAAATACATTTAATTTTTTTACTTAATTTTCAAATAATAAATTGCTATTTCTTGCAAAACTATATTTTTAAAACTATAAACTATGAATACCAAATCTTAAAAATGTAAAGGTATATTTAAGTTGCAAAATAAGTTTTATTACTGGAATAATCATTTTTGGTATAATCAAGTTATGTTTATAATTTCAGTTTTGTGAAATTCAGTCGTTAGCGCTGAAGATTGTTACATTGTTGCCGAAATACGTATACGCAGAAAGTGTATTATTTTATGGCTATAAGGGTTTTAAATATTAATTTCATTATTATAGATAACCATAATTTTGCTCAAGTTTTTTCTAGACTAACAGAAACATTTAGCAATGCACATCAGTGAAAACTGATTTTTCATGTAATCATGGAAACCACAACCCCGAGGAATAAGCGCATTTTTTTAAGATTTTCAACAAATTATGAATCTACTCAACGTGTATTTCATCAATATATAGTGTTAAATGAATTAGATGCGAGTGGTGTGTTCCTTCCCTAAATAATTAACATATAGCTGATAAGTGTGGAAATAAAATAGCCTATTTAATAATGGGATTCATGACACACACGATACGCAAAACGCCTATTAAATTACATTTTATCACGACACTATACCTAGAAAGGGTGTAATGTATATATTTTTTTTATAGACCTATACAGAATCTTCTCAATTAAATAATTTAGGTAAATTATTTTCTATAAAAAATTGTATTAGTTTAAATAAACATTTTACGAATTATCCGCGTTAAAACGGGGCTACGTTAGTTGTGGGACAAAATAGTTTTTATTTTTATAAAAATCCGTTTTTTTCTTATGCTTTTTTATTTTGTTTAAACATTTAAAAACAATTAAAGATTACTTTTTAAATCGTTTAATTTTTTTTTTTATTTGTACGTTATGAGTTGTATTTTAGTTTTAATTGTAATTTTTGATATATTTAAAGTATTAATTTTACATGACAAGTTCTTACTAATAATATTCATACAATAAACAATGTGTAAATCGATGGAGCATTTTGGTTTCTTTCATACTCGGGCAAATTTTACGGTTTTACCAACCCAAACTCGGACGATAAGGAGAGGGAGCATAACATATTTAATTAATGGTAGTTTAAAAATTAAACTTACATTTAAACAATATACATTTGTTTGATTTCAGCGATGGACCATGTCCTATAGAGTACAGACATAAAATATTACATGTAGTCTAATGTTTTATCATTGCCGAATCAGCTATGGGAATCAGCTAACTGCTAATGGTAATTCGTACATTATTTATTATTTGACAAATAACGCCAATAACTGTAAAAATAAATGTTCACATTTTTCAAAAATGCCGATTAAAAATAAAGTTCAAATTTAGACTGTAGATATAAATTACTTTTTTCCCTAAATGACACCGCTGGTAATAATTCTGAACACATAAAATAAATCACTCGAATACACCAGATATGTTTTATACATAGGTACTGGTGATATAGTAACGCCAATTGCAATTAGTTTTTATTTAAGTTTTCTCTGTATGAGTTATAAGTTGAAACATTGGTTTTATATAATAATATTTAAAAATATTGTTTTAATTATTTTATTTAACCTCGAATAGCCTCGTATAACCATACGTTTAAAGGTTATACGTTATATGTTTACCACAAATAGGTAAACTTCAACACTCGTGATATTATATAATAAAACAATATCCTTAACGCCACAATGTCAAAATTTGAACTTTCTCTCTCTATCTCTCTCTCACACATACATAGTCTCTCAAGAGAATAAACTAAGTTAATCTATTACATTATCTTATCTTATAATCGGTTTAGTGTTAAACAAATATTGAATTCGCTTCAATATTTTAAATCTCGCCTGATAATGGATGAGTTTTCCGATGAATATGCGGAAATTTAGGAAGACATCGTAAAGACGAAATATAACTACAACAAAATATCAGTATGACGTATTAAATCTATAATTATTATTAAAATTATTCTATAATAATAAAATGTATGATAGCAATTAAATGTTCTTATATTAATTATTAATATTATATTAATGTTATTATATTTTGATAATATACAACTATGTAAAGTTTATGTGCTTGTATTTATTTAATTAACAATGTGTAATAACGTATTATTATTTACTCATATTTGGATAAAATAATTATTCAAATAAATCATCTTAGGTTTGTAGAGTACAAAAATTATTCGTTATTCAAAAACCAAATGCTCATCACTGCTAATAACATGTGTTATCCGCCAATTCTAATTCGTTTGATTTTAATTGAAAGCTTTTTCTGAACAAAAAACACTAGTTACTTCATCGAAATATCCTAAGTTTTCCCCCAAAATAATAGAAACAATAAAATACAAATTATATAAATTTATATTTTTAGGAACTCTACTTAAATCTGATTTGCTCTGAATTATCTGTTTTTTTAATAACTTTTAATTTAAATTTAGAAGGTATTTTGCATGGGACATTGTCACGCTTCCACGCGAGTTCTTCCAGCGAGGCCCAGTAATTGTTATAAGATATAATTAAATAAAATAGCTCACAATGGATTTATAATTACTTTTTCTTACCTTGTAATAACTTATGTTATTTTCAACTTAACAAACTATTATATTTGGTTACTAATTTATGAAAATCGTTCAGCACAGAAGGAAATAAATGAAGAGTGATAACTTATATACCAATAATATTTGCTTAAAATAAAATGTCTTCTTTAAAAAACACAAAAAAAAAATGTTTTTATTTTAACTGATTTGTACATTTTATTGTATTTAATTGTTATTTGTTAATTGTGCTTAAAAATGTGTATAACATTTTTTCATAGTGACATTGTCATTGTCAAAGCCAACTTTCCAAACGTTAGTAATGCATAGTACTTTCATTGAAAACACATAAACCATATTATTCTAATATTATATTGTGTGAATGGTAATTACCCTTGGTTACAGTTTTAAAATAACTTTTGTACTTTTTCATGTTTATCGCTTATTATCAATTATTATATTATTTACTTAATTAAACGTTGGGAATTCTATTGAAATAGGGAAAGACGGGCAGTACTGTATGGTTAAGAGAAACCCGGATAATACGGTTGTGTCCCGTTTACGGATTTATCCTGTTTTCCCCTACTGTAATGTAATTTCAGTTCAAGTTATATACTTATACCTATTCATATATTATTTATGGCAAAATCAGTTTATGAAAGAGAGTGCACTTGTGAACACTAAATTAGCACTTTGTCAATAACAGGCCTATCTCAAGATATATTTTACCTGAGTAAGAGGAAACATACTCATATTCTAACAATATTATTATTTATTACAAGCATAATTTATGAACAATAACTTAAATATAATATGTTTTGCGTTGTTTCTTTCCTACGAACTTTTGGTTTATAATAAAAAAAAAACGAGAAATTAGAAATCTCTAACTTAAACTGTAAATAAAAATATTTTAGGTCATAAAAAAAAATGTATACTACAATAGCAGCTACATCAACATAATATATTTTTTTCCCTTGCAAAATCGAGTTCAAGTGTATTGTAGTATAATATATTGCAGATAACGCTAATTAGTAATTTTGTTCAAGGTAAATATCAACATGGCTGTCTTCTTCTTATTATTATTATTATTGAAAACGCTCGGTAAGCTCAAAAACTACTAACTCAAACGTAATTAATAGTAATTACACGTTGAAATTCCCAAACCCGAGTCTTATCAAGTTGTGTTTCATGGTTTCAAAATCGAAAATGTTGAAAAAATAATGCCAATAAATAGTATAAAATTTTGCGGTTAGCTAAAACCCAGTTCAACATAAAATAATAATAGGAAATTAACTCTGTAAACGGTTTGTCACTTATTACGGTTTACATTATCGTTTATCGCCGCAATAAATAATAATCGCCATTTGAACTTGTAAAGTGTAAACGCGATAAAAGGTTTGCCGCCCGAATTACAGTACACTCAAGTATTATTATATCTAAGCAAACACACGTTTAGATTGTCAGGGAAACTAATTCGAATTTTATTCACTGGAGAATCGCCAAGCATTGTTTTTTTTTTTTTATTGTGTTACTCTTGTTGTACAAACACATAACTACAGCATTGCGAGTGCACAATTATTTACTTTGGTCGCATCTAATTCGCGTACCTACTTGAATAATTTCTATATAAGTAACGGTTTTTGAAAAAAATAATCAAAATCAAATATCGTACGGTCCGCGTTTTGCCCGGCAAATGGCCGGTCGACACGATAGTATAATGCATGTATAATGATACTATGTAATATTCATTCGGCGTGTACCTACCTATTGTGTTTTTCCTTTAGAAATCTGCAATACGTTTTATCCGAACGAGACGCCTCCGCCGGTCTAGACAATCTTCTCTGGGCTTCTTTCGTCGACCACCAATTCGCCAACTTCGCAATTCGGTGCATACTGTTTTTTACATTTTTTAAAAATTTTATTTTGCTTCCGTTGCCCGTAACGAAAAAACAAACAGAACACGGCGATTTTCACTGACCAACGTAAACGACAACGTACATTCGCGGACTGGAATCCGGACAACGTCGTGCGGTATCCATCGAGTACGGAATTCGACTGGCACACGATAAACGGCCGACCGTATCGTTACCGCCGCCGGTACACGTTTCGACATGCACAGTGTGGAGGGGGTAAGGGGAAAGCACGCGGAGAAAGTGTAATGCTAGTATTATACATATATACATTGAATGTGTACAACTGACAGATCATACCACTCACACCACTTACCACGTATAATTGTATAAACCTATGCTCTAAATTCTAATAGTTAGTACAAGTTTGGGAACAGTGTTTTGTTTTTTTTAAATAATACTCTAGTATTTAAAACGCTTTTTAACTAAGTATTTCAGTACAATATTTGTCTACGTGTATTTAAATGCCTCTATTTAAAAAAAAACTCTAAAACATAGATTATCCACGTGCATATGAAACACGGCAACCGCGTAACGATACCGAAATGAGCGCAGCAAACACATGGTCAATATGGGTTTGCGTACATAATTGGGTTGCCGAAAAAGTATAATATGAAGTGATCTATCTATAAATGTTTAAATTAGAATTAAAATTGCGCTTTTCATCATCATTAATAACTCGATTCCACCCGATATTCCTCATCTCCTTTTGTAGTCGACCATGTTTCACATGCGTAAGTCGAAACTGGTAGTAGGAATCTTAAGTAGGTACTGACGTTCTCCTTTGATCGTCAGAAATTTTGACTTAAATAATTTTTCCAAAGGTTCTGTAGTACACATTGCTGAATCCACATTCCCGACAAGCTCATATTTTTTTTCCCTGACACCCATATTCCGACAACACAAAACGATTCCCTGGGCTGACACATTAGTTATTGCCAGTGCACAGTGGTGGATCCAGGATTTTATTTTGGAGGGGGCCCAAAATTCAATATATCGAATATGTATTACGTATTAAGTACATAGAAATTTAGTTACCATAAAAAATTATAAATAGTAATATTCCAAGCGTTTTGGTCTTGAGAGTGAACAGTTTAACAATCAAAAGTAAAACAATGGCGCAAATTATCGAAAAAGAATGATCATTGATGGGTTTATTTACGTTAAATCGCGGCAACGAAATACCCGTGTATATTAGGATTGCCAAACAGTAGGGTTTGGCGAATGTACTGCACGGGCAATAACAAATGCGGCAGCACGTAATGAAGACCCAGTAATGATTTTCAAAGGGCCTACCGAATCGCAGCATACACACCCGCCTAGTCAAAGCTTTGCCGAGCCGAAATCGTGATGGATAAAAACAAATGGATGAAGAATACAAACAAAATAACGACGAATTGGCTTTCTTACGAGTTATTGCTCACTCACAATATTGTTACTCGTAAATTAACTGATCCTCTTTTATTATCTTAATAAAAATAAATATAAATTGTCGGGAGTTGTCCATTCGGGAAAATGGGTGTCGGGGAAAATATTTCGGAGAAATGGCCTGTCAGGAATTTTACTTGTCGGGAATGCGGCTTCGGGAATCTGGTCCACTATACCTTTTCCAAAGCATAATAACCCTTGTTTTCGGCAGATATCCTGAATTCGAATTTATTTTGCATATAATTGTATTGATTTATATTCTACCAAAGATATTTTAAATATTTTACTTGCTGAAAGCTATAATTGTCTACTACCAGATCCGTTGCTCCACTATATAAGACTAAATACTTTATTTTGTCATGATTTACTTACAGACCCATTGGCTTAGCTGCTTTTAATAAATCATCAAATGTTGTCGCTAGAGGAAAGAATTTATAATTACGGCACTCTTATTGGTTTTTATTAGAGCGGACGATTCTACACGTGTAATTATAAATACACGTGTTGGACAAGGTTCATGTAGTTCGAACTGACGTGTAGAAGTTCGTGTAATTATAAATACAAGTGTATTTTAAATACATGTGTAGGACAAGTTCGTGTAGTTCGAATTCACGTGTAGAAGTTCGTGTATTTAATACAAAACACCTGAGATTCAACTAACTTGACCCAATGGCTATAATACTTCATCTTAGTGACAACCAATTTAGCCGATGAGTCTATGGCTGTCAATGTTTTAGTGTAATGGTGGTATTGGCTTATAAAACAAATAAATAACTTACGATAGTATTTTCTTTTTGTTTTTAACTCATATGTATTGATTTGTTTAAGACAATAGTGTGATTTAAAACTCAATACACCATCTAGTTATTTTATAATATATATTATATTATGTGAATATAAATAATGTAAATTTCATAAAGTGCCCGTTGAACGCGTCGCTTCGTCTCGAAATTAATTATTTTAATACTTTAAGTATATCAAAAAAACTAAACACTAAATTAAAATTCTGGTTCCACATTCTTCAGTGCAAAAAAACACAGAAAATACTTATAAGAAAAATTCAAAAATATAGTTTAAAGGTAGGTAATTTATCGTGTGAAGTGAGCAACCTTTACATGTGTAAAATTGGCAATTACGACAAGGTCGGGCTAATGACGTCACGTGGCTTTTTTCAGTTCCTCATAAGTCATAACTCATAACTCATTAAATAACATGAATAGAAACGTGAAACCTACACCATTATTCTTAGAATTGAACATATTTTCAAAGTAAAATAACTTATTTTTTTGTATTTTGTGCTCCGTCAAGGGTCGAAATAAAAGAAATATTTGACAAAAAATAAAATTCAATCAATTTCGACATTGATCTTATTTTTATACCAATTTAAGAATAAAATTACCAATAATAACCTATCCTTTTTGTTTACCAATTATAGCCATTACGACGATAAAAAAATAACTACGGGAATAGAGTTATTAGGGGTAATACCTCACCTCACATTGGATTTTGAAATTGTTTTCTTCTTGTTTGAAAGAGGAATGACTTTATCCTAAAATAAACCTACAATTTTTTTTTAATCGTCAAAAATTATAAAAATTAAGTTTAAAAAACAAAATAAAAATGGAAAATTCAAACACAACTACGACTTAAGTAGAAATTCAAAATTCAAATATCTTAGGACATTGCATTCTAAAAGAAGTTTTCCTCTTTCATACAAACAAATCCGATCACTTCGAGTCTTCATCCCTATTCCCGTAACTCGTAACTCGTAAGGCATGTTTTGAGGCAAAATAATGAGACCTCATCAGTTATGAGTGACTCATATCTTTTTATTTCAATTAATAATGTGTTCTTTGAAATGTTGCAGTCGTTATTCGTTATTTATTACTTTGTCCAACTCTTTTTAGAGTTAATTTTTTTAAATCGTAGCATTGTAGAATTGAGGAAACTAGTGGGTTTGGATGGAGCTATTTAATGAGTCACTCATAACTGATAAGGTCTCATTATTTTGCCTAAAAACATGCCTTTAGAATAAAAAAACGTGGCTAATACAAATTTAATCGAACAACATATTATTTTATTCTATCGACCAATACTTCAACTATAACTTGAGTAACAAAACACCCTGTATCCTTGTACACTTGCAATAACCGTTCCGCTGGAAGAACCGTATACTCCCTCCGGTTCGTGCCTTTCACAGCTATTATACTGAACGGATGTGTGTGTGTGAATGAGGTGGGGAACACCTGACCAAAACAAAAATCAGCGTTACGCTACGTCGGTGTTTTTTATTCATTATTATACATTTTTTTTTTTAGGGACGGGTAGACTTGAGCTAACCGGAAACGGTTTTAATGATGTTTTCTCGACAATAAAATCCGGTGTGAGACGTCCACACGAGAAGAATAACAAATTCGCATCTCGCTAGTAATAATATTATTGTTGGTTTTACTATACATATTATACTGACTATAGAATAACGATAAAAAAACCACAGTTTACTTTTTTTGTAACTACGAGATCAGCAGGTCAATCTGATACTGCGTGGGATGTCAAAAATATATCAAAATTATTATCAAGTATGATAAGTATGATAATAATATACAGTATAGGTATTATTTTATGCAATGTAGTGTTGTTATTCAGCGTATATTGTTTACTCTATTAAACATATGTATAAACTGACTACTGTAATGTAATATAAATCGAATTTCCATTGCATTCGATTCGAATGACGGATTCGTGTTTTTCAGTTTAAAAATTAAAATACAACAATCGACATATGTATGTACACTATACCTACATATTTTATAGCTTTTTATGTTTAAACCTCTATGCATGTTAAAATAATTATAGTCTAAATAAAATGTACCAAATGCATGGTACTATACACGGATCCAAGATCAGAAATAAGCTAAAGATTAAATGACCAATACTCTTGTCCAATACTTGTCTAATACTAATTAGAGTCAAACACCCGGGTTTGAATTGAAGGCAAACGCGTTGGGACAAATCACTTTTAATTGAAGTCACTCTAAAAAAAAACCGCTTCGATACGAATCTGTACATAGTACAAACATTAAATATCAATAAAACTGATTGGTAAGACAATAATATGCTTAAAATTGTTTGTTTAGTGTTAGGCTGGATACAATAGGAGGTAATCGTCTAAAAAAATTTGTTGCCGTTGTTATTCATATATTATCGTAATTAACAATATAATTAAAATATTTGTCTGATACATGTTGACTGTTAAGCGTATTCATTCAAACAAAGCTGTAAATTTAATACTGTGCGAGCGTGATTTTTCCTTTTGAGTAATTAACCTAGTCAAACATGAAAAACGAATCTCCCAAGCAACCTCTACAACTCGCACGTATGACTAATACGTAGTTGAATGCTTGAGTAACTTAATTATAAAACCATTTACATTTTATCTCGAAATTTTAATAATAGTTTGCCTATTATCTAGGAAAAATATTAGTCCAATTACTATATCACTAAAATGGTCTAGAAATACAATTGTGACATAATAACATATTTAATAGTTTTTATAATTGGAAAATGAAGTCGCAGTAAAATTAATTTTATATAGTAGTAGACGATTTTAATACTAAGCTATAATTGGAATTGGTGTTTTTGTGACTAAAGAGATGTTACTTTTTTTCATTTAGACCAATTTACTCGAGTAGGCTCTCGCATCAATCAGAAA